TGAAAAATCCATATTTGCTTTTCCTTTTAGTTTATCATCACTAAACGATAAACTATTTACCATCAATTTTATTATCAAATCCTCTTTACCAGCTTCTTTTGCCTCCCAACAATAAGCTTCTGCCAAGTAATGAAACAAAACTTGAACAAGATCAACACACGCAATCAACGAGTTTTCACGAGCACTGAATCATTACCAAAGGTAAACATTAATCACCATTAGCGTGTAAACAAAAGTTAGACCAAAATTTAATTCAACTTCGAACTCGAAATCTAAATGATACAAATTTAAATAATGTAACACATCGAAATACATGTATAATCGAGGTTAAAATTTCGCTGTAAATGTTTTCCAGTTTCAAATCAATTTCCATCTCAATTACAATTCGAAATTTTCTCAGCTCATTACCTAGGAATCATCATGTTCAATCAGACATTTAAACGTTTCTCATCAATTTCATTTCAAAACTTTTCCATTTCACATTTGGATTCTTTTTTCTTTCCTTTGTAATAAAGTTGATTGACTTGGGAAATCAAAATTCTGTTTCTGTTTACAGATGATTGGGTTACATTTACTTGATAAGCAAAGTAGTGTTAACTGGTTCATGAACAATATCATGATGAAGATATAAAAGATTAATATTGTTCTAATGGAATTTCTGTTTCTTTTTTTCTTCTCTTGTTCAAACTTTTTCGAATCTTGATTCGATTCCCTTCAAATGTATCAATCAAAGTGTGAAGATGATTTTCGTTTCAACAGGTTGCTGATCAAAGGAATGAAATTTCATGAAAACATTTTCTTCTTTTCAATTGTTACCTTTGAAATTTTCGCTTTAAAAAGAAGAAAATTTCATGATATTGTCTTTTGGGATGAAATGAATAATCAAATGTTCGCTCAACAACTGATCAATTTCATTGGAATTGAGATAATCTAAAGTGGAAAAAGAATTTATCTGAAAAGTTTCAACATTTGATAAACAAAAATAGAATTGTTTTTTTTTCGAATAAAACTGTTTCATGATAATACTGAATATAATCATGATAATAACAATGAATCAATCACGAAGGTTGGCAGAATCCAAAGAATTGGTTGAAAGTTTAGTTTGATCAATGATTTTATTGAAGTTTCAAAACTAAATTTCTGTGGAAATCTTTTTTTTCTCACAAATTTTTGCACTCAACGAATTAAACATTAAACTTTTTCCCTGAATTGATGTTCGATTTGACATTTTTTTCTGGGAAAATATTTTCAAAGTCAAAATAGTGGGAAAAGAAGGGAAAACGAGGTAAAATATCGAGAAAATTTTATTCACATAAATCACATGGAACATGATGAATATGTAAAGAGCGACAGCAATGAGCCAATTTTATTAGAACATGAACATGGAAAATTCGTTAAGCATGAAAGTTGAGAGATGAATATATTAATAGGGAAAAGATGAAGAACAAGAAAACAAAAAAAAGTAAAACATTTGTATTTGTGGAATGAGTAGAAATGGGAAAAACAGAGCATTTGCATTCCGAGTAAAGATTCAATGTGAAAATGATATTAATAGCGATAATAAATCATCAGAATCTTCATCATGCTGTTGGTGACAGTTAGGATGAGATGAAAAAAAACGAAATAATTTTATTCTTTTTTCCATTCTCTAAAAACAATAAAGTAATTACGCGAAAGTGCCTTTTCTGTTTCAGGTGTTTGATTGGTTTCAGGTTGACATTTGGGTTGACCTTGTCCAGGTAAAAGATGATGGTCAAGGTGAAAGAGGAAAAGTGTCTGGCAAGGAAAAAGAATGACCTGTCATTTTGTATTGAAATAAATACACTTGACGATAAATAATAACCTAATGTTGGGTCATTTCATGTTGCCTTGTCTTGCTCAAGTTATGTTAATGTGAAAACTCTTATTCTGTCCTTTTTTCCTCGTCGTTTGTTGTCAGAAAAAATTGAAATTATAATTTGTAAAGAAGATGGATTTTATCACTCCTTGGAGTTAACCTTTTCTCGATAATGTAATGGTCAAACTTAATGTCCATTAAAGTCAATCCTGTGTGTCTAACTGAACCACTGGAAAAGAGTTTAGATTTTTTGCTTTTCCATTTGTTTTGGTAAATGGAATCGAAATTTTCAAATGTTGATTTGATCACTCAATGATGTTGATAGTTTTGTTCTTATCGAGTTTCGACCATAATCGTGCAATTACGAACGCTATCAACATTTAGAAAGCAAGTTTTTGTCTTCATTATTCATTCATTTGGTTGCCTTTTAAATCAACATTTGAAATTGAATTTTCGTTAAATTTGACTTTTTAACAACTTCAATAGCTAAACAAAACATGAAATAGATTGCTGACTTCAAAATGAATAGGTTAAGGGGTAGCCTGCCCTTGGATCTTGGTATTGATAGGAGGAGTGCAATATGTGCATGAGGACTGCATTTTCTCAACTCTCGTGCTCAAAACACGATCAATGTGAAGGAGAGTGCAAAACTCTTGTTCAAGTAATGACAGCAAGGTGTACTAAACACACACCTAATCAGCATTTAGTTTTCACAGCTACTAATATTCCTTGCGTTATTAGACTTAGCCTGTGAGCTAGTGTTGGCAACTGTTACCACAGTCCCATTGGAGATGAATCTCTGCTTATGCAGGGTCAACAATGCTTGTCATCTGCTCTGACGAATCCGAATAGTCTTTCGTTGATGTTTGTTTCTTTACCTGGTGTTGAAACAACTCATAAACAAATACCAAGGCCTTATTTAATTGAAAATTCATTATTACCTTTCCTGTTTGTATCATTAATTTATCTTCAAAGTATTACAATTAAGCATAAAAACATGAAATTTTGCTACATCATTCAAAATGTATTTTTTGTTTGGATCCAACATTTTAGTTTATTTCGATTACACCAGATGACTCTTCAGTCACACCCTTTATCGCTATGGAAACATTTGAATCAAATTATCTACTGAAGCTGAAAGTTTATCGACAATTAAAGTTAACCATAAATTATTTAACAACATAATTAGATTGGTAAAATTTAAAATTCAAATTGACTCTCATAAACAGTTTAAAAGTTGTTTCTCACCGTAAACTTCCCTACAAAAGACAGATATTTAAACTATTAAAAGAGTGTAAAGTAAAAATTAAATTAACTATTAATCGACTCCAATTTTCCGCCTTAACTTGATTATAAATGAACCTTTTTCTCAACTTGATTTTGTTCCCATTTTCACCAGTTCCATTGAAACCACAGACTCTACAACAATAGTTAAATTAACATCACGTATAATCTTAATCAGGTCATTTCTTTATATCGATTGATCTGAATCGATAGTCTTTTTTATTACAGTTACCTATTTTAACCAATTATGTTGTTCAACATTTCCCTTTTCCTCTTTATAATAATTAATCTTCAGTTCAACATTTTCATCTTGTTATTGATCAATCCTGAAACTGCGTTCTGACTTGGAACTTTGATTTCTTCCAAAAATGTTAAAAATTTTGTTCAAAATGTTACATTCGAAACAAACAAAACTGAAAAATGTCAGAATCAAATATTTCAAGTTGAACAAAGTTTCCAATGCAAATAACTAACGACTTTATAAAATGTGAAAAAGCATTTGTTGATAACTTTTTTGTCCTAAATTTTACTCTTCAAGGAATGTAGAGATTTCAAAATGGAATAACAAAAAAGGTGTTTTCATGTTTACCTGTAAATAATTTATTCAGTCAATATTGAAGATTATTCTGAAGAAAGAAAAAGGATTGATCAAGAATCAAATATTTATTAAACAATGAAAATGACATTTCCAGGAAGAAGAAGAAGAAGAAGTTTCAATTTGATAGATAATCTGATTTCTATGGATCCAGAAAATTTCATCCTTTCATCATGTAACCCTGTTTGTCCCACATTTGCAACAAATTACCTCGTTTGTTGAAACAGAAAATGTTTTTTGTTTTGTTGTCACCAAAGGTAATGACCTGAAATGAAAGGTCCAAACAATTACTTTAATCGATAAGGCCATTGATATCAAAGTTGCTTGAAAATTTAAACAACAAAAGAATAAAAATTTGCTCTTTTTATTCAAATCTTTTCACTCCCAGCAAGAAAAACTCCCAGTTCTTTGCTATCAATCACAATAATACAAAACTTATCAATTTGATTCTTATAATTAGTAAAGTTTTCAACTTAATTTTCAAGAAAAAAATTTTCGATTAAAAAATTTTTCCAACTCGAAAATTCGATGTGAACTTGACTCGTGAGTTTTCAATGAAATTGATCATTTATCATTTTCTCTGTTGTGCGAAATGTTTCAAAGCTCAGGGGAAACATCATCAACAATCAGGTCAACATTGTTATTATCATTAAAAAGCGATAATAAAAAGAGCATGGGAGTTACAATGAATAAAGTTATGATTATAAAAACACAAAGTTATCCTCTTCTGTCTTCAGTGAGCAATGTTGTTGTTACTCTTACCTGGGTAACACACTTTTTTTTATTGTGTTACCTCAACTTATTTACTCACTCTTTATCATTTCACTTTGAATACTCATCATTTGGAAGACAAACACTTGAAATTGACTTGCTATCTTCCATCATCCACTTTCTTATTCAATAGACAAAGTTATCAGACTTGTGTGTTCCCTTCAATTGGTTACATTTTACTTGTTATCCGGGTCATTCTGGATCATTCAGTTTTCAGGTTTCAACCTTTGACGCTGATCAAACTATGAAATGCAAAAATTCAACCTTTTTTCCATTTCCATTTTCATCAACATTTTCTAACCGTTTTTTTACTCGAGTGTTTTTACTGTCGCTTTTCATGGTCAAGTTAACCAACTAAAGAAAAGATGAAATTATTAATTTACTCTTTAACTGTAAATATCATTTCATGAGTTTTTCCCTTCAACCTCTTTTTTGTATACTTTTGATTATTTTATTGATTGTAACTGTACTTTTCGTCTCTTTTGCATTCTGCTCCTTGGATTATTTTGAAAGGGTCAAGAGTGTAATCCAGTTTTTAAAAAGTTTGCTGGACTCACGAGCCATGGAGATGAAAGTGAACCTGAAGAGCCTTTACAGGAAGAACCGCCTGCATCGGCATTGCATCGACGTCGAGCTCTGGTACCGCCAAAGTTGATTACCGATGGCTATGAAAGTGCAACTGATGAAACTGAACATACAAGGGAATCTTCATCATCACCATTATCGAGTAACTTGTAAGGATTAAACTTTTCTCATCTTTTGCCTTCCATTTCAATTTTGCACTTAAACCGTTTAATGTGTTACTAACATCCAAAGTGAAAACAAGTTTGAAAGCCTTGTCAGCAAGCGTCATCATAACTGTTATCTATTAAGTTTAATCAATTTTGTCTCATTAATAATGCAAAATAACCTGATGATTTCATGAAAAATAAACCATAAAAATAAACCTTTAGTCAAACCTCAATAGAAAAGTTTACTGCATTAGCAGCTTTGCTCATCAAAAGCTATTAACTGTCATTTTCCTGGAAATAGCGTTGAGATCAGACAAGATTAGATAAGATCAGAAAGGCCAAGTCGGGCAAACATATTTTCTGAGTAGCATCAATGCGTCAATGAGACAAAATAAACTTATCATGTGTAACCAACTTGTAACGTTGATCAGGCAAACTTGAGCTGTTATCTTTCAGTCTAAAAAAGACGTTGATTTAAACTTTAAATTGTACAAGAAACTAAATCAGCTTTAATCGGAATTGGCTTGTGAATTATTTCGTGAATAACGTTAGTGTTCAACTTGGAAGTGAGTTGAAAGTTGAGTCCCTTTTTACCTTATAAATGGTCATTTATTTTCCCTCAAACTGAACCAAAATTTCGTCCTTGATTCCGTGACTTTAGAAATGTTGGTTTCTCACCAAAAAAACTTGTGATGATAATTTTGCAAGATTGTAGTGGGAAGAGAGAGAAAAATTGATAAAGAACATCATTTTTCAAGTTCATATAGTTAAACAAATTATTCCGTTTCCACACACATTTATCCAACTTCGTCTCATCATTATAATCTTCACCTTTTTTCTTGTACCCAACGCTCATCTAGTCTTGTAGAGCAAGTTAAAGATGATGATGTAAAAGAAGAAAAGAGGAGGAGAAAAGGAGAAGAAAAGAAGAAGAAAAAGCAAAAGTTTAGTTCATTGGCACAGTATTGTTGTTCATCATTTTCATTCTCATCTTATTTTCTAGTGAAAAAAAGATAGAAAACTTTAATATAATTGAGTTAACTGGTTGAGCGATTGTGAACCGGTTTCTTGATTCATAGACAAGCACCTTAAAGGCAATGATGAAGAAGAAGAAATGATGATGATGATGATGATGGAAAGAAGAGTAAGAAAGGAAAAAGGAATAAAATTTAACACGAAAAATGCACCAAAAAAGTTATCCCATTGAATGTTCATTGAGGGTAAAGTAGCATCAACATAAAGTACCTAGTTATTAGCACTATTATTATTAGTATGTATTATTATCATTATCATGAAGAGGAGAAAAAACTAACCAGAATAAGACAAAAAAAGATAAACTCAGCCATATGTGAGTTAACAAGTTTGTGTCTCTAAGCAAACAAATAACCAAAAAAGTAAACTGAAAATAAGTGAACAGAAAGTGAAAGTTTATGGTTTTCAGGTTTGAGTGTGAACCCAAGCCGAAGCCAATCATTCAGTGTTACCAAGTCGCTTGGCTCGGTCACAACTTTACTTCACCTTCACCTTCAAACCGTGTTACACTTTGGATTATTTTACTTCTTCATTTTCATCTTTACTTCAATGTTGAACTTGATTTTGAAAAATTGACTTTTCTTTTGTGCCAACCTTTATCTTCTTGTTTTGTCCGTTCAATAGACTGGCTGAGCCAACATCGTCAAAGGCAAGACGACGAAGCTCAATCGTTGTTATTCCACCAATGCAGATATGTCCAGGTGATCTATTAGTTTATAGTAAAGTATTAACTCATCGAAATGATCTTTTAGGTAAGAAAATGATTTTTTAAAAAAAAGAGAAAAAAAGGAAAATCTTTTTGTAAGAAAAGCCTAAAATCAAACTTTTTGATGTTTCCTTTTTTGCATGTTTTAACCATTAGACAACTTTGATGGATCAACTCAATGTTTAGCTGTAACCGAAGGTAAGAATAAAGTTCAAAGTTCTCATGTTTACCTTTTCATTTCCTTTACATTTTTTCGGGTTCAAATTCAATTCTTTTCTCTCGACATGATAAACTTAACATTGCCCTCTCATTACATCCTCTTGCTCTTAATCCTTTACCCATTTGTTGAATCTTCCTCTTCCCCTGAGTTGAACTCAAAAAGCTTTGAATGATATTCAGAATCAAAAATGACATGAAATATTTTCTCACTTCCTTCCGATCCAATTAGATATTACCATTTTTCAGCTCAATTTCACTCTCAATTGATTAATGAACCAAACCACTTGTAACACCCAACCTAGAGTTGAACCAATCAGTAGGACAAGTAGCTTAACCAACAAAAGTAACATCTTAAAATTGACCGAAAATGAGTTGAAAAATTGTGACCAATTTTCAAACGAAAGTGGAAAATTGAACAAAAAGAAACCAAAAAATTGACTAAACTCTCAATGAACCCAAACCCAAGTGAAAATGTCAACCTCTTTTTTCATCTTTAACCGTAAATACTCGATTGATTTGTGGACCTTTTCAGCCTATCAACTACCCAACTCTGATCGTATCGAATCAAGCCTAAGATCTAATTTACTTTCCTTTGCTTCCTTAGATGCCTCACGTAAAGGTAAAAATACCTGGTCACTGTTGAAACTTGTAAGTACTTAAAACAGAGCGTTTATTTGATTAACCTTTTTTTACACTTTCATTTGTTTTCCAATGAAAATGTAAAAAAAGAAGTCACAGTTTCTCACAATTTCAATTGTATAAAGTAAAATGGTAAAAACTCAATCTGAAAGTGAACCCAAAAGGTCTAGTTTTAGGCTTTTAGATGAAAAGATTTTAACCCAAAAATTTGGTCGAGAAAAACCTTTAACCTTCACTTTACAGATTGATTAGAAGTCCATTGCAGTTCCTTGAATTCCCATTCTTATCCTGTTCCATGTTACTACTTTTACTATCTGTCTATCTTTCTCTTTCTTTTTTAATGTGACTCGTGATGTAATAATCTGATCTGATGATATACACATGAATAATGAATAACTCTTGAAATCTCTGCATTCTGGTGATAATGCTCTTTCTATCCCTGATGATATTCAATGCATACTATTTATCTGTTATTTATATTCAAATGCGCCTGTAAAAAATGAAAAATCACAAAAAAAATTGATATTAATAATAATTTCCAAACTCAATTCACACCAAAATATTCACTGTTTATTGTTTAAATGTTACCTGTTGGCACGTCACTGCACCTTTGTCATATCTGTTCATTTCATTTGTTATACATTTGTGCACCAAAATGTAATTTAATGTTGAAACTAAAATTCAAACGTCAACTTGACCTCAACTTCAAATATTGAACAAAACTGTCTGTGAACGTAAAAAACGCTTACCGTCAACTTTACCAACAAATTATGCATTTATCATGTACCATTTGATCATCTTTATTGTTAATTGATATAATTGCCAATAATTTATAATTGTTATAATTTTTTCTTTTCTGTTCTCTTCTTCTTTATTTACACTTTTTATTTTTTAAATTTTGGTTCACCGTTTACTGTTTATAATATGCATATGACCCCGTGAATCCATTGTTTACATATTGTTTACCTCTTTGATTGTGATCTTTATTATTGGTGCAACTTTTCAACACCAACAAATTGGTTATGAACGACAATTATGATTGTTTAAAAAACTTCATTGTGATATGAAATTTTGTCCAACAATAATCAACCACCAATATATATAAAAAAATCAATACCTTTAATCGTTGACCATCCAACATATACATTATGATTATATTGTGGGAAACAAATACGACACAACCACAAAAAAATATGCAATGCTTCTGTCCATCCAAATGTGCGTACAGTTTGACAGGTCTAATCGAACCAAATCGGATTCATTGTGTGGTCTTGAAGAGGTTTTATCAACACTTACTCCGTCCGTTTTTGTTGATGAACAACTTTCCAAATATAAAGTAAGTTTTCACCTTTTTTTCACTTTAATATTTGAAATATAATTGTAGTTCATTGGTTACAGTGAGCTTCTGGTTTAGATTTTTTCTTTGCTAATTAATTTTAATTTTTTTTCTTATCGTTTTAAGGGAATGTCTTGGGCTGATTTTGAGACTCAGTTTGAGGAACGTCGTGCATCCTCCATAATCTCAGGCCATCGTTTGTCGCAACTACAATCAGATAGTCGTCGATCTTCTGCACAATCATCTTTAACTGGTCAAAGTAATACCAACATATCCATCAGTTTACATCACTCACCCACCAAGTCACCTAGACGTCCTGGCCTTTTAAGAACACAAACCTTCGACTCAGCCCAAACCAATTCAACAGATGATTCTCTATTAGAGGTTAATGCTCATTCCATCAGGTCAAACAGTTGTATTGCTCCAGTTTCAACTTCAATTCGTCGTCTTAGTGGAGGCCTTAATTTTAGAGAAGAGTCTTTAGATGAAGGACAATGTGAAGATGTACCCTCGCCTGGTTCAACAGCAACAATTGGTCAGAATAAGAGTCAAGCTCAAAATCAAGGCCAGGATCAGGATGCTGTTGAAACTGACACAAATCGTAGTTGTGTTGGTCCAGGCAGTGTTGGGGGAGGTGGAGGTTTAATGGCCAGTTTACATGCAAACTCTAGTATTCAAAGTGAACCCGCTTCCCCACCAAACAGTTCATCAAGTCCTACCTCGTCTCGTTCAAGTTTTGCATTAACTCGGTCAGAGTTCAAACGACGTGAAGCTCTTTGGGATCTTTTCCAAAGTGAATGTGTTTTTCTTTATGCTCATTTGATGGTTTTGAAAAATGTTTTCATGGAACCATTGAAAAAGATTCAAGTTGAAGGATTTGCTATGTTTGCTGAGCCAGAAGTACTCTTTGGTAATCTAGATGAACTATGTTGTGTTACATATGCTTTTTGCAAAGAATTTTTAAGTCTAATGCTTCAACAAATGAACTCTGGTGATCTCAATCCAGCAGAAGTTTTGGTTAAACTTTTTCAAAAGGTAATTACTTCTTTTCCTCCATTATCAATATTCGGCAATTATCGAAAAAGTCAACAGATAATTTTGTGATTCAATATTTCGACCAAAATACTGTTGCTTATCAACTTGCAATAATTTGAACTTTTTGAATTACAAACTTGCCTGATCAATAACAATAGATTATTCAGTGCATTGTCACAACCAAATTTAAATGAGAATCAATTGTCAACCAATGTTACTTTCAATTTCTTTGAACCTTAATGCTCACAGAAAATGATTAATATTTCCCTGGAAAAGTATATCTTCTATTGATTACACAGACTTTTTGTAATTTTGCCTTTTATTAGTACATTTATCTAGCATATGTCAATAGAGTTGAGTCTCTTCATTGAAATAGATAGCCATCTTTTTATTAACCATTTCAATCAGATATTATCAGACAGGTCAATTTTTAATATAGTTAATGAATAAACTGATCAAGAAGTGTTGAAATGTTCAGTCAATAATTTAGTTGTTCAGGTTTGCCTTTATGTTGCTGCCTCTTTATCTGTTGTCTGTCCAATGTTGCATTTCTTATGGGTAACTAAATTTCAATCAATTTAAGACAATCATTCATCAAGGAATCATAGTTACTAAACATTTTTTTTCATATTGAAATGCAATCTGAATTTGATAATTGTTACCTTACCTTGAACTAATCCATGCTCTTCACGAGTAATCCATTTTTTGTTTGTCATTTTTGTTTTCATTTCAACAGAGCTCTAAGGCTACTGCACTTACTCAAGCATATCATCGATATACCCTTAATTACATCAATGCTCTTAATTATCTGGAAACACTTCGTCGTCAAGTAGAGTTTAATGAATTTGAAAAAGTAAGTACTAATAATGATTTATCACTAAATTGTTGCAACGTTTAACATCGATGAGACCCAAATTAACCAGGATTAATGATTACCGTAACTTTGAAAATTACAATAAAGTTGCTTAGCCAGTGTCTCCATCTAGTGTTTTCTAGTTCGTACTACTTTTTTACCGCTATTTTGCAACAGATGATTCAAATGTTACTAAAGCATAGCTTTCATTTAAGTTTAATTATGAAATGTTAGTAAATTATTTTGTTGGATTATATTATAGAATTAATTCAATACTCTGTTACTCAGTTGCTTCAAATTTACACGATTTTAAATGTTTATAGTCGACAAATCTTACTGATTCCTTATGTTTTGCTTTTTTTATCTCTGCTATTGGCCATCAGTGGTGTGCTCGTGATCCTAGATGTAAAAAGTTACAATTGACTGATTTACTTGTTTCACCGGTTCAACACATTATGAGGGTTCCACTAATTTTGAAAGATATCGAAATGAGAACAGAGGATGCAACTGAACGTGAATTAATTTCGCAAATAATTGAGTCAGAGGAAGCTTCTCTCCGTGAACTGGATGACAAAATGAAGTGGTTAAAAAATTTCGAGCGTCTTCTTGAAATTCAACGAAATATTGTATGGCCTTCTGTTCTTGATCTTGATCCCAAAGTTTTCATTCCTGAGGTAAGGGCAAGTTTACAATACTTTTATTAATAATACAAATTACAGAAAAAAAATCATAGACATTATTTTGATGTTGATTATTATTGTTAATCCTTTTCTTTATTTTCTTCATCTTTTACAGTGTCTTAAAGCACCCCTTTCTAAACAACCCTGTGAACGATTAATTGTTAGTCCAAGACGTCAAATAATCATTGAAGGACCATTAAATATTTTAGATAGTGGTAAACCTGTTGAAATGTACGTTGTATTGTTTGATGATATGTTAATTATTACAAGGCGTAAAAAAGGTCTTCACAAAAAGGTATGTCTTTCTGCACTTATTTCATTGAAATGTAAATCTAAAATATTTCTTTTTTTTAATTATTTGAGCAGCAATCATCTTTAACTGAAAAGTGGGCATCTACATGTAGCCGAGCTAGTTCTGGACCTCATGAGAGTCCATTTAAATATGTCGTATATAAACAGCCATTATCTCTAGATCGTTTTTATATCCATGATGTCACTGCGGCCGAAGGTGCAGGTGTGTATTGAAAGTCAATCCTCTTGACCTCTTGATTGCAATCGTGTTTAATCATTTACTAATTACATTATTTGGTTTTATTTTATATGTTTCAGCTCATAATTTGAAATACGTCTTCGTACTTGTCTGTTTAAATAGATTTCAGCAAATAGTCACTATACATACTTTTCAAGCTCCTAATGAATCAACCAAGGTAAGAATACAATTTGATTCTGGTGAAATTTTCTAACCTGACGTATTTTCCCTTCAATTATTGGCAGATTAATTGGCTTTCCAAATTAAAAGATACCGCAGACCGCTGGAAACGTACTTTGCAAAACACAGTCTTCCGTAGTCAACAACGTTTAAGCTCTGCAAGTGTGTCAACCACATCTAGTTGTAGGGATACAGCAGTCAATTCAAGATGAGATTAATTTAAATTAATCCAAAAAAATCGCTACAACTCAGCATAATTTATTAACTCCTGTTAAAACAACCGTTATCAACCTTAATTTGTTATTCCTGTTGGCCCTGCTCAGATGAAAATTCACTTTCACTTCCTCTATTATACCAAAATACCTTTAGAAACAATCCAATAAGCTATAGCTATGAATCATAGTTCAATTTGATTCGATCTAAAAGCCGGACAATTTAAATTATCTAAGCTGTCGAAACCAATTCTTTTCATTGTAATATTGAACGAATCCATGATGTCTTAGTTGTAGTTGTAGTCAGACCATCTGTTAGTGTTAGTAAGACCTTTTTCAGCTCAGAAATGTGATTTTTGGTTAATTTATCTGATTTTCGTTGAAACGTTTACATTACAATATCATTTTTACTTGAAAAATTCAACTAGATTTTTAACAGCACTCAAAAAAATACTATGACAAAATAATATATCATTTGAATGATCATTGAAATGGTATAATGAGATATAAATTGTGATGTAATAAGACGAAACCGAAACAATAATGAATTACTCAACTTGAAATACAATCGAAAAACAATAATCTTCCGTTGTGATAATAAAGTAATAGAAAGTCATAAAGTATTAAGTAAATTGTAATACGAAAGATATCAAATTATATTATTAGTTGCATGTTAATGTCAGAATAATTATTCTTTTTCCTCGTCCTTATCATAATCTCTTTTTTGTAAATCACACTTTATCTTGTAATTAATGTAAAATTTGAATATCATTAATTTAAATTTATAAATTTCTTGTTTCTTCATACTCGGTTCAATAAACAATATTATTGAAATGTTACTTTTCCATTCAAAAAACTTTGTCAGAATTTTTTCTTCTCTTAAAAATTTTTCAAACTGAGCAAATACAAACACAAATCGGGTTCATTTGAAATAAAACCAAACCAATAATTCAACAACAATATTATTTATTCAAAATAAGTCACAAAGCGATCATTTAAATGAATAAAAAATATTTAGATTCAATCAAACTATGTCTCTTTAAGGTTGCTTTTTCAAATATTAAAACTAAATTACAATCGATCGAACGATGAGACGAGCTTTACTCTGTAGAGAAATGTTCAATTTTGAGCGCACAATTAGAAATGCATTGTTAACAGTGTTTTCGTCTATTGTAGTCCATTAAGCGACAATCCTTTTCGCAATGTAAGCTTCTTTCTCCTTTAGTACCAAGTGAAATTGTCTTGAACAATGTACAACAATCAGGTTCTTGGTTGATGGCCAGATTCAATATAAAATCTTAATGATACAAAATGCCGAGATGATCCAAGAGTAGATAAATAAATAATGTATCATTTACATACACATTAAAAACACATGTGGCTTGGTAATACCAAAAATATAAAAATTATCACAGTCGTCCAAGAGCCTAAAGAAAATAGATGGAACAATTGTTAAAACTATGAACCAAATTTCAAATTTCATCCACTTACCTGGCTTTATTTCATTCCAGTTACTTGATAATGGTTTCGCTCCAACATTGATTTCTAATAACAAACAAACAAAAACTAAATCATTATCAACATAACAGAAAAATGGCTCGAAAAACAAACAATAGCAAAGCATTGTTGCTATGTCAAGTTGCCTAATAAGATGGCGACACTTGTTCAACCAAAATTTCAGTCGACAAACCAAATTAATGTTAATCGTTGGTTAACCACTACTTACTTCGAGCATCAATGAATGAATAAAGAGCCTGGAAACCGGTTCCATCATATTGATTATTGGACTTGAAGATTAGACGGAAAAAATTATTCGCAGAAATGACTGATTTCGGCTTTTTAAAGCCACAATGTCGAGAGGAATTATGATCAGTCCAAGGATAATTTGAAAATTCAATGTAATCAGAAGCCGAGTCAGCATTACATCTAAATAAAGACAAGCATTGAAAGATATTAAACCAGAACTTTTAGGTGCAAAATTGAAATTGATCAACTGACCAGAGCACCTAACAACAATTACAACAATCAATTTTAAATGAGTGCAAAGTCAAACTTACGGTGGAACGCCTTCAATATCAAAATGGATAAAATTGAGGTAAACTTGTTCGTTGGGTTTACCATGAAATAAGTATTGACATTCAGTGTTTCGCGGATATAAACCAGGAAAATTGGGCGAATTAATTGTTCCATTGGGAATTGATGTTGAGTTGAAGATGAAAGAGCAGACTTGAAATGAAAATGGACCAAGAATAATGTGGTTGTTGATAATAGAGTGAATAAAAGTAAAGATTCATGTTACCATCAAGATACATGAGAAAATGAAAATAAGAATTGAAGACAAACTACAAAAACAAAAACAACGTAACATCCAGAAGGAAAAGAATTGAGTGGCAAAAGAAAAGCCCAAGAAAATTGTCCCTTTATTACTATTATTAAAACTAATCAAAAGCAAGTTTGTCCAATCAAACCAGATGATCGTAGATGATAAAAAAAGTGGACAAAATAGCCTTCAAGTTGCTTGAACCAGAAAAAAAGGTTAACTTGTAACTTGACTTAAATCCATTTTCAAGTTTACAATATCATTTGACAAGAAATAAAAGTCCCAATGAAAAGGACTCTTGAGATTAAAGTTTATCTCCAACTGTAAAGGATAACTGAAAGTATAAAGAAACTGATCAATGATGAATCGTTTTCGACTATTTTCGATATGATTGCCTCTTTATCTTCATCTCATCATTTACTTCTTTCTGGGTTCATAAAAATTTACATTCCATTTTGTACTCTTTTCTTATTCGCTTTTCATTTTCATTTTTTTCCTCATCGAATTCATTTCTTTTTTCTTCTTCTTTTTGCTTCTTTCATCCTCTGACTTTATCCAAAGACAATCATGAATGTCACTTACATACAGCGTAAGATGAGAATGAGAAGGAATGGAAATATATTTACTCTGATTGAGACTTGATTCACTCCCAATAAGTTATCATTGGTTCCCCTTTTCCCAAGTCTTTATCAGATCACTCACTTTGCCTTTTGTTATTATTTATCAAATCATCAAAAACATTCTGGTTCAATGGAGGCTAAATTGAAATTTGATTCGTATTTTGCTGTTGCTTTTTGCCAGTGATCATGAAGGCTGTAACCATCATTTGGCATCACGCCTCAGCATTCAACATTGGCTAAACAAGAGAAGAAGAAAAAAAAGGAATTCAAGAAAATTGAAGAAAATAATCTTCAATATTATACTATTCACTTTAGACGCGGAATCCCCTTAATCTGAAACACTTTTCATTCCTCAAATAATCTTATTGAACACTCTAAATATCCCCATCATTTACCAACTTCATCCCATCCTGGAACATCAAATCTCATCATTTTATCGCTTTTCCAATCATAATCGCAATATTTTCCTCTCAACTTTGCATACTTCCAATTCTTTTATTCAACAAGATTAACCATAAGTTGATGGAAATAAATTTTCAGCAAAGTTGACCAAAAATGGTTTGCATTCATTTCCTCAGAACAAATCAAAATCAAAAAGAATGCAAAAAGATACATTTCACTTTAAAATCTGTCTTTTCTTGAAAAAGGAAAATGAAAAGCTCTGATTTTTCCTCTAAAAATTCTTCTGATTAAACATCGATTAGAAAATTTTTTTGCATAAAAAGGTAGTTAACGTCAATTCTTATGTTTAAATCTGGTTTTCGTTGTTTGTTGAATTTTGTTTGTAATAATTACCTTGATTATCCTCTTGTTGACCAGAATTGATACCAAAATCTGTTGTAAAATATATTAGAGAGTAAAATGTTGCGCTTAGTTAATCATGTTTATCAAGCGAATGTTGATTAAATTATCGAATTTTGATTTGTGTGAAAAGGCAGAAACTGTTCAACTGTTCAACTGTTTGTCTACATGAACCAGATAAATGCTGATAACTTCAATTGTGTGGACAAACAAGCGTAAGAAGAAAAGGTAATCATAATGGAAGTCGAAACGAATTAAAGGAAAATGAGGAAAAAAAAGTAGAATAGCAGATGACAAAAATGACGATGAAGATAAATTGAAGGATGAAAAGGTGTAAAGAATAAGATGGTGAAAAGAGAGTCTCTAGATGATAAACAGATTGATGAGCATAAATGATAGGAATAAAGATGATGAATGATTTTTCAACTAAACTCTCGCGAATTGAATGGCGATGAGAAAAGATGAAAAGGATGACTTGAAAGATCTACTGATGAGATTCAGAAAGAAGATGTTGCCTCAATTAATATTTTGTTTTTCCTTTTTTTCATCATTACTCCATCTTCCTGTTCGCAGTATGCAAATGTCCCTAAATTAGTTTAATGATAATGAGTCAAGTTTCAAAGTTCAATTCTTCTCGTTCACCTTTCAACTCTTTTCTTACCAAATGAGGATAATGAGCAAAATGCAAATGAAAAGGAAAACCCATCAATTAGAACAGTTTAACATGATTAATTTGAATATTGAATTTTTGGGATTCAATAAAAGTTAAAAAAATTAATCCAAATGGAAACATTGAATGAAACTTTTTGTGTATTTTGTCGTTTTTATGTGCAAGAGATCAACACTCAATTATAGCCTCCCTTCCCTTATAAAGAGCATTTCAGCTAATTTGGTTGCTGTAAAACGGCTATTACTAAGCCCCTGAGTGACTCTAAGACTGATTTTTTTTATAAAATTTCACGGATATTCAATTATCATATTTGGAGGTCAAGTAAATCAAGGTTATTTTGCGGAAACCGTTCCTATCTATATTAGTACTGAGAAAGTTTTATCATTCTTTCACAAGTGCTTCGTGAGCTATCGATAGGCAAACTTGAACTCTTACAAGGGAAGGTTCCCAGGTTTGTTTTTCCCTTAGAAGGTTAGACATGGTACAATCGATAGAGGGTACTTATTTAAGAAATATTTATTTAGTATTTTATCTAGTAAGTATTTATCTGCATGGTCAGTGGGTCCTGAGATTTTGGGGTTTAAAATTTAGGCATTTGCTTTAAATTCATTTTTTAAAATCTTAAAATTGTCTTATAATGCGTAGCCTAGTAGGTAAAGGAGAGGTGAAAGGTTGAAAGTTTTGGGTTCAAATCCTGGCGACTTTTTATTTTCAATTAATTTGAATGTTTTAGATTTTTTAATTGATTTTTTTGAGAAATTTCGATGGTTATCACTTGAGCTAAAACTTTGCAATTTAAAACTATTTGATTTAAATTTTTTAATTCACGAAAATTTCTCGAGAATTTCGATACTTTATTGCTTCATTCTTCAGCGATTCAGCAGCTATCCTACCAATAAGTCTCCGTAGCTTTGTATCCTTCCACAGATGAATTCTGCTTGAACATTTCAACGCTTTTTCGCATTTTTTCTCGGTTTTTTTTCTTTACGTGCTTTTCTCGCCATATCTTCCGTTGAATAGGGATCAGCTTCACCTTTTGCAGTCAATAGCAATGCATTAGAATGCATTTTGAAGGTATTCATCAGGATGAGAACCCATCTAAAATGTTTGGCTCTTAGTGTATACCGTGATAAAACGTGGGGCAAATGGGGTTGAATTGCCCTGAACAGCGAACAAATAGGATTATCCTGTAGTTTGGATGCTGCTGATTGATATTGTGAGCGCCGAGTTCAATTATAATAAAAGTAAAGCTTTATTGTTCGATTGGTGACTGAGACAAGACTGCCCTTCTTCTCTTGGTCAAGAGCAATTTATACATTTCAAAGTTACAACTGATAGTTGTCATTAGCATCCGGCTCTCACTTGGGTTATTTCCTAGAATTAGCATCAACTGCTGAAGCCTAGTTTTATCTAGACACTTTTAGATTAACAACAACTTTAGTGGCCAATAATTATCATTGGTAACATCTTATCACAATATGACTAAATCGAAGTTTGGAAAGAGGGAGATATCAACGACTTAGTTGTTCTTTGCATCGATTTACGAGAATACTTGTCGATAGTTTGAGTTTATTTTAGATAACAAGTTTTTTGTGCCGGGTTTGCTTATCAACGGCAGTTTTATTGGAGTAAGAGATGGGGTATCCACTACTGCTAGCCGGGTTTAATTACCAACGGCAGGTTTATTGCAGAAATAATCAGGTAAGTATTGACGAGTGCCAGCCGGGTTTAACTACCAACGGCAGGTCTTTAGAGACTTAGCCTCAGTCCAAAACAATGCTGCATAGCAGCAAGATTGGAGCATTGTTTTGTGGTCAGCAAAAATACCCGACCTCCGCGTGGTGCTGACTGGTTAACACTAACAGGGTATAAAAGTAAATTGAAGGAAAAAATCTCAAAAAATAAACCATATTTTGAAAAAACAACTACAATAAGAACCAGCAGTAATGTGAACCAGAATTCCAATAACTCTGTAGCGCACATATTTCAAATTATCACAAGAGACTTGTTTAACAAATTCTGGCGAAATACGATAGTAGTGATTGAGATCTATTTCATTTTCTATTCATAATAAGCTTTCCATAAATACATGAATGTTTTATACTATTCTGAATCTTGTGCCTGGAATCCAGCATTTTCGCTATCTCCTTTTAAAAAAGTTTTAAAGCTTAAAAACTCTAAATAAGTTTAATATTATTATACTTCTATGATAATAACTAGTTTCTCAAAAAGTCAAGGGTCAAAGTTGATCTTTCTGTCGTGACAGTAAATGAAGCAGCAGTTGAAATCAGTTTCAAATCAGGGATCTCACAAATTATTGATAAAAGCTTCTTTTACTCACTTGTAACGAACCGATAGTTTGCTTTAAATCCTTTGACTTTTTGACGCTTCAAGTAATGTCCACTTCGAAATTCAACCAGTAAATTGGGCCCATTGGACATTAGATTGTAAGGCTTTTTGGAACCACAAAAAGTATCCAAACTTTCCTTGTTACCATTGATTGTTAATAAAACCATTAAAGTATCACTTGACTCGCAACTGTCCATGGATTTTTAATCAACATTTGAAGGAGAAAAGAAAAGAAAAGATTCATTGAGTTTCACTGGGATGAACTTTGTCATGGTTAAGAAGAGGAAATAAGAGAAAGAAGAGAAAACAAATCAAGTAAAACAAGAAAAATGTTGCAAGTTAATTGTCAATTTCATTACTGATTAATTTTCCTTTTCTTCATTCTCTTCTCACCTTCTCACCTCATTGGTTTAGGCTTAAGTGAACTTTTAACAAGATCAAATTCATTAAACACTATCTGAACCCTTTGTTTACCATGACCATTGAAATAATATCGGCATCGAACTCCTTCCGGATAAATATCGGGATAATTTGGCGAATGAAATGAACCATTTAAAGACATTTCACTATTGATGAATTGATCACAAGTAAAACCTGGAAAAAAGTGAAAAACCAAAATATACAAAATTGATTTAAAATTTGACTCAAACTCGAAACCAAAGAATTATGTTTCAAGAGAAAAAAATGTTTTTTCCACATTTCCATGGATTGGTGTCTGATTCTTCAGACTATTGAGCTTTCATTTTTTCTTTCCCTGTAAATGTTGTATTCAAGAGGAAATGTTTTCTCATTGTCATCATTACATTTACAAGATTGTTAGATCAATAGTCAGATTGATTGGTGATCATTAATTTAATTATTATTGTATAATCAATGAGAGAACATGTAACAAATTGATATTCGTAATGAGAAATCGAATATTCATTGTCGCAATTACGATCATCGATTAAGAGCCATTCTTTGAGTTCATTGCAAGTGTCAAAGTATCCAATGAATAAGATAAAGATTGATATTGGTATATGAATATCCTTCAACTTACTCTTTTTACTATCCAATGTTTCATCACGAGACAATTTCATTTCATCGGAATCTATCGAAAAGAACAGAAATTTAATTTTAGTTAAAATTGAACATAAAAGATTTAAATTGTTGACTTAGCTTTCAATCTCTCTTTACATTGCATTTTTGCTCAACTAAAGACCTTTCATTATAAGTTGATGTCGACTCAACTTTCAGCTATTTTTGCTTCTCAATCAAGATTTAGATTAACTTGTGGTTGAATAAGCTTCTTATTGTGAAATTGAGATCATTTGGTCTGTTCATTTCGTGAATCCTCTAAATGTTTACTCACCTTGATTAGATTGTTGAATGCGCTGTTCTCGTTGTTGCTGATGGTGATGATGTTTTTGCTTTTGATTAAGGTTATTATGGTGAGAAGGCAGTGATGAGATACTGTTGACTGAGAGTTGGCTTTGATTGAATGAATACAAGGCTTGGAAACCTTTGGCTGAAGGTGATAACTTTGAATGTGAATGAAAAATAATAAGCAGATCCGGACCTGAAGAAATAATCTCAACAAACTTATCATCATTACAAAGTCTTCCTATTAGAGGAGCTTCAATATCCGGACCATCATGAATGAGTACAACATCATTGGTACCAAGGCAGCTATCAATAAATGGTAATAACAAAACATAATAAGAGTAAAAAAACATAGCTAAAAGGAAAAGCAAAATATGACAGAAAAAAAGAGAGAAAGAAATGAAAACAAGACTAATCAGGGTTAATCAGGGAAAGTAATTTCATCTGTCAAGTGTTGACTAAAGGTGGTGGACAAGGTGAAAATATGAATATGACAATATCATGGATTCCCTGTTGATAGAAACTCGAAAGTGAATAATGTTTGAGTAAAGAGTTGAACAACTGATAATGATACAAGAATCATTCTCATCATTATTAATGTTGTTATTAACAGTATTATTGTAGTCTGTTATTAGAACCATATTAAACACATTTAGATAACTTTATCATTTATTGCTTAATGGGTTTTCTGCTTTGGATGACAACTTGTAACTCAAGTCAAGTTCAGTTTAATTCTGATGCTTAGACGAACAGAAATGTAATCACTTTTTCTCTATCATATAATTCAGAGATTTCTTCTTCTTCTTCTTCTTTTCCTGATAAATATTACTGTAAATAATGATGATAATCGCAATGATAAAGTATAAATTATAACTTGCCTCTAATGATGATGGATCAAGTTTAATGGTAATAATGTTCATTTGATTTCGAGTGCAAATTTGCCTTTTTTCAACTTTCTTTTTCTTCTTCTCTCTTTTCCTTGAAACCAATTTAAAATTTAATTCATTTTAATGAGTTAAATTGATCAACATTAAAATGAATATTTTGTTAATCAAAAAATGCAAACATTATTCTGCTATTGATTCAAGAAAATTTCCATTTCCATGTTGATCATTTTGAGACTTATTCAACCTTTAATGGTTAAATTAAACATTGACTTTGCTCAAATTGCCTATGAATCGATTTAAATGTTGATTAAAATTATGATAATTTGGGCCAATGATTGATGTGATAAATGATTGTAAAATTTGTCAATCACCAATTTAATTACATTTTTGTCTTCTTCTTGCTTCTTCTCATCCTTCATTGTAATTAATAAGCTGAGCAATAAATGAGTTTGTTGATGAGGAAAATGATTGATATTGCCTTTTTTATCCAATAACGAGTCAACTTGCCTAGGAATTAACTATTCATTTCAACACTTAAAATGAACTGATAAAGAGTTTAACCTTTTTGCTTTCACAATTTTGGCAAAATAGAAACTCTTTTGAATCTCTTGAAACTCTTGAAACTCTTGAAGTTGTTGACAAAAAGCAGTTTTGAAACATTTACAGTTGAAAGATTAGATTCACCAAAAAGTGGGATTCTTGGATTGACCCAGAATTGATATTCATACCTAAACCTTTAGCCTTTAGTCATGATTCCAGTTGAATATAATTAGGTTAACAAATTATCTGCCAATTCTTATTCATCTCACAGAGTCACTCGAGTAATTTGCCCAAAGTATCGAAATTAGTGAAATTAAGTTTTAGAAGAAATAAGAAAAAATTGAAACTCGAAGCAAATTTTTGTTTTTTTTGGAAAATTTTTTAAACTTTTCAAACTTTTTGTTTCGAATTTTTTTGCAAAGAAATTTCGAAAAAATGTTTACCTTGAATCTTTATTTCCAAAGACAATCTTTTCAAAAACAACTTTAACTCGTTCGTTGTATTTTCCCATGAAATGGTAAGCACAGTGTGATGAGGATGGATAACGATTTGGATAGTTGGGTGAGAAAAATTTACCCACCAAGGGAACAGTTTCATTGGAATTTGTTGAAATGCTTAAAAATTGATAATCACAGGTTGACCCGGCAAGTGGTTGACCATCAGTTTTGTAAAGGGAAGACTCGATGAATCGATAAGTTCCCGAGAATCCATGATGTTGCCCATTGGAGGTGTAAAGAGTTGTATGAAATTCAAGTATCAACAGGGAATCAAAAGAGTATTGTTTACGTTTCCATTCAGAAATTGAATTACCACAAATTACATTGCCACTTGATTCCAGTTCAGTCAAAGTAATGCTCTCATTACTTGGATTTAATAAAAGTCGGACAAAATCACCTTTCAAACAACTGGGAGTAAAGAGAAGAAGAAGAAAAGTAAAACAAAATGAAAATAAAAATGAGAACAAAAGTTGAGAAAAGAAAACTAATTTTATAAGAAAGAAATGAAATGAATGCAATAAAATGTCAAATTTGTGAGCAAATATCAATGGATATCGCTGTCCAAATCAAACAATAACGTTGCCAAAGTCAAGTTATTACACAGGGAGGGAACACACAGGGAAGGAATAAAAAGGTTACTTTGAGTAATAAATTTTTTTGCCTCGAAACAACTCGATTTAGCTCAATATTTATGTTTAATATTTTGATTTATTAAATTGACTTTTATTTCTTGCCTTTTCCCAACTTTTACTTCTCTTGCTCTTCATTATTTTGAGTTGCATTTTTCACCAACTTAACATTGAATTGTTGGAATGGAGAAAATTTTGTCGAAAATTTTATGGAAAATTTTTTTTCTTTCTTGTCTTTTCCTTCTTTAATCAATTTACAATTTTAATTAATTAATCTTGTTTTGGTGTTGAGAAAAGGCTTTGAAATTCATTGAAGCCTAATTAGTGGTTTTACATTTAACGAGTTTATCAATTATCTTGAGCTGTTCATTTAATCAGATGAGTTGCAAGTTTATTGATTAAAAGTTTACAGTTTAGTGATTGGAATGTTTTGCAATGTTCATGTTGAGGGTTAACTGATCAAATCTGATTCCGTTTCAATTGATTACAAGGTTGAAATGAAGTTGAAATTTTGCTCTCATTTGCTTTGATATTCTTAGTTTTTTTTTGTCTGATTTTTTTTTTCTTCCTTTTAGTCTTTTACAGTTGAAGACAAGTCTTTTTTGGTTCATGAGGTTAACATGAAGAGAAGATGAAACAAAAATGAAAAGATTCTTACAAGTGCTGAACAAACTTGAAATTACATTGTCAAAGAATTGATCAGATACTTAAAAGTTGAGATTCTTTGTCTAGTGTAACCTTTTTTTCCAGTTTTACTCTTATTAACTTGAAAAGTTTACTTCAGCAAAATTACAACTTGTTTTACAACTTATCGAGTTATTTTTATCCTTAACAAATGTAAACTTGAAATACTTGAAAAGTTTGATGAAATGAATTTCCAATCAATTATTGAGTTTAAATTGAATGAAATTTGGATCAAATTTCGAAGTATTGTGTTCATCTTGTTTCAAGTGATATTGATTTACATTTTTTGATCCAATCAATAGAAGAAGAAGAAATTTGTCGAATTTTTTTTATCATTAAAAGAAGCCTTTTTTTGGAAACTTTTGACTTTACAGAACTTAAAACCTTATTGATTTTATTCAATGGTTCACATGAAATTGCCAATAAAGTGCAGTTTTCATGATAATTGCACATTTTTAATGTTCATGTCGAGGAAGGCAATGGAAATGATTACATTTGCAATTATAAAAGTCGGGTTACTTCTCATTAGAATATGGCTATTTACTGAAACATCAAATGAATGTTACATGATAAGGAGAAACATGGTAAAGTTATTAAGATGAATAATAAAGAATGAAATAATATGCTGAAAATGTTGCTGTTTCTTCTTCTTCTTTTTCCTTTTATTCTTTTTGCTTTTACTGTTTGCTGTAAGCTTTTCTCATTGTTCCTGGTGTAACATGATAACATTGTCTGAAGAGAGGTCAACCCATAAAACAGAATCATTTCAGCTGATTCATAATGTTCTCAATGAGTTACAGATAATCTATTCAAGAAGTTGTAGAGTGAGAAAGGAGAAGAAGAAGAAGGTAAAGTCAGAAAATGAATTGTTCAGGAGTATCATGAAGATGAGGCAAGATGAGCTAAATGATTAGAGGGAAAAGGAGGAAAATGTGAAAAGGGAAAGTGAATAAAGAGCTAAGCAGACTAGACAAGAATATTGATTCGCTTTCAAGATGAAAAGAATTATTGTTGTTTGTCGAAAAAATAAGCTAATTTTCAGCATTTCTCATGAGAATATTTAATTTGACATTTTTCGTTCCTTGACACCCTATTGACTCAAGATGAACGTTTTTGCCTTGACATTCGCTCAATGGATTTTTGTCTGGTTTCAAATTTTAGCTTTTCCCATTCCATGATAAAGTGTTTTAATAACATGAAATCCAGGGAAATTAAAGTGACAATTATTATCTTGCCTTTTCAATCTTTGATCAACTCTTGCCACTCATTTCATCTCATCAGCTTGACATCAAGTCAATCCTGAGATAATTGAACTGTCATTCATTAGTTAAAACGTTAAGTACAAAGCATGTGTGCAAGAGTAAAAAAATCTTTCCAGACACAATATTTGAAATATTAGATTGGCTGAATAGCTTTTTATCGCTTTTCCTCCTAAACATTGAGTTTACTTTTCATCAAACTAGACTGAGGCATTTTGAGGTGCTCAAATTTTAGTGAAATTATTGATTATGATCATTACTATGAACAATTATCTACAACCAATAAATCTATCCAGGTGGATAAATCAGCAAATCGGAAAGATTTTGTCTATCAAAATAAGGTTGGGTGCTAACAAGGAAATCGAAACTCACTTTTGAATCAATTCTCTTAAGTCCATATACTGGCGTTTTTTATCCTGTTAATTAAGATCATTTTCTTAAAATGGTCCTTTTTCAAATTGGTCGATGTTTTTACATGTTAACTAGAGGTCAAATAAAGAATCGAAGTTGAATGACCTCAGCGCAAGTACTTATGATTGATCAGTCTGAATAAGCTCATAGTTTAAGTCTGAGGCCTGTAGCACTAACCGTTCGTGATTTATGCCTGCATGAAGCCGCAGAATGAAAAAAACGCCCGATATGAGCCTGAGTCTCTATACACCTCTATCGGACAGTCATAGGAAAACAGAATGGGACACACAACACGACTTAAAGTATCTTTGAGGGTATGTATTTAATACAAACTGGCTGGCTTACCATTTTTTACAAAAAACACTCTTTAAATGATCCACGGCTTGGCTACATCTAGTCATGGTTTACTACCACTATGACTAGATGTAGCCAGTATATGTACGTAACAAACGACAAACAATCTGGAAAAGTTTGTATTTCAGAAAATGACCTTCAATGTCAGTTAGAGGTCAAATCACGAAGTTACTTTGAATGATCTTGAGAATTCGGAATGATGGTTCTTCAATTATACCTACCGCTTGAGCTCCAGAAAAGAGATACACTGAGAGTCGGGTGCACTGACTGGCTGAGAAGAAGGCAATTGATGCCGCTCATTCAATATTGGTAATGGCAAAATTTTCGAAATCAAAATTTTACTTTTAGTGTACATTATGCACCTGTAGTTGAGATGGTACCTATTCAGCTCGAGATTTCCGATAATCGGATGCATTTAAAGCATGCAAGGAAATGATGCAACAAAACTTGAAGTATTTCCCTGAAATACCACATTCACCACAAATGATGAAATTGAATAATTCCATAATCATTTGTTATCCACTTTTGTTATCTTTTATCTTTTATCTTTCATCTTTACTCTTGTCATTATAATGTAATGAAAACATTTTGTGGTTTTAATGCCCTCAATAAGATGATGATAAAAATAGGATGATAATAATGCGAGATTTACATCAATAACAGCATGGTTCTATGTTAATAGGAATCAACAAGAATAATGTTTCGATATGTTAATCTATTGGAAATGATAAGAAATAAAAGGAAAGCTTCTTTTTCCTTATTCTTCTTCTTTCTTATTCAGTAAATGATATAAAAATTCATTTCCATTTGAACCTTCAAAAACTTATGTTAATAACAAAAGGAAAAAAAGTAAACAGTTTTATTTCGTTTCCTTTGCTTCCAAATTTTTGCCTTTTTTCCCATTCATAATATTGAAACATTTAAAAAAAGTAAATCTTTTTGTAATTTCCTATCAAAAGTCTTTAAGTCTACAAAAGATGAAACCAGGAAAAGTACAAAACAATCGTCAAGCTTATTCAATTCAATTGAAATTCAATTTTACTTCAGGTCAACATTAGCCAATAAAATGATACACTTGTGAAAAGGCAAAGGGAAAACAAGAAAAGGCCATTGTTCTAACCTTTTTGTGTTCATTTACAGTCAACCTTTTCTATTATTAACTTGTAACCCAAAAAGTAATCCCGATAATGGGACATTCAACATTGAATTCAACTTGAGGTTATCAAGTTTGACCTTTATCACACACTTTCTCAACTTTCCTCTTCTCATCTTCATTTTTATTCCGAATTATCTGTAAAAACTTTGATTCTCTACTTTTATCAATTCCATGAGTTTATTTCTTTCAACACTTACCAGCTATTCACATCAATGAGCAAACAAGTTCAATTGACTTTTTGCCTCTTCTTCTTCTTCTTTTTCATCTTTTCCCTTGAATTACATTCATTTCTCCTGCAACAAAAGGACATTGAATCAGACATTTGAAACGGAAGAAGAAGAGAAGGAGAAGCAAAAAAAGAGAGAAAATGAAATGAAAATAAAAACAGAGTAAACATCTATTGATTTGTATTGGAAACATTTAACATTCGGTTAAATCTGGAATGTACTTTTGTCTTGATGAACAAAAAAGATACAAACTGGGAGTAAATGCCTGGGAGTGAGATTTATTTTTTGTCTTTCATCGACTTCGTGTGATAATAATCATTAACAGATAATATCAATCAAACAATAGGTAATGTTTAATGATGACAAAACATGTTATTGACAGTGTTCCAGGTTAAATGAGCATTGAGCGAAAAGTGGAAACTGATTCTTTTCATTGAAACATTGTATCACAATATTAGCCATTGACAATGAATTTTCTAATTGCTTTGGCAATTCGATTGAAAAAAGATTTGAAATTCATTTCATCACTTTTTGACTAATTGAAGTGCAACTTACTCGGTTGTTGATGAAGCGTAAACGTCGAATGTGTTGAATGATATTTCAATTAGTTGACCTGGTTTACCAATGAAAATGTAGAGTAAACAGTCGATTCCGGGGTCATAGGGTTTGGGCCAGTCTGGACTTGTGAATATACCGTGATTGGTTGGTGTATAACTTGCAGTAAACTTGACACATTTACAATCTGGTGAATGTTGATAGTGAGGGATGAGGGATGAAAAAAGAAAGTAAAAAGATGAATGATGAAAGTAATGAGGAAAATGTGAGCAACAATTTATGGAAGGGATGAGAAGTAAAAGAGGGAAACTATTATATTGTAATGATAAAAGTGAAAAGGTTATTAGTCAACCTCAGTTTAATATAAATTTTATTGATAAACTATTTGACTTGCAAGCCGTATATGGAAGCGTAAAGATTGAAAATAAAAGCCATTTGAAAAGAAATGAAATGAGAAATGGATAAATTCAATCAAAGTCCGAAAAGTCAAACAATAAAAGTTGAGCTTTTTTGCTGCCTTACAACATTTGCTATTATTTATCAATTGGATGGAAAAGTTAAGGAATTGAAATTTACCAAAGTAGATCAGTTAAGCGAGTTTAAACAGAGCCAATTTTCGATCAATTCAATGATTTATTGAAACACAAAAAATGGTTAAATTTTCAAGTCAAATTGTCTAAAAAATTGAAATTATCTGAAACAACAGTCTTTAATGAACAATTCAGCTTGAACACTCTACTCAGCATTTCTTCATTTACAGTTTCTAACGCAATGTCAATCCCTTTAGAATCAAACATTTTCACTTCGAAAGGGGAATTTTCATGAAAATTTGACGAAAAAAATGATTCACCAGAATTTTTATTTCGATCTGAAAAGTTGATAGAAATGCAGAAAAATTGTCAAAATATTTTCCCTGTGAAAAAAGAGTTTCAATTAAAGGCAATATTTTTGATATAATTATTGTTTAGTTTGCTTCCAATTTTTAAGCTCATTTCAACATTTCATTCGACTCATGCTGTTAACAATTGAATAAACTTTTTAAATGATTTTACATGGTAAAACCCATAATCTGTTGAGAAACAGAGTGAAAGGAAAGCTATGCAAAAATGATTATGTTGATAACTGGAAAGATGATGAGCTGTATGAATAAAAAAGTTGTCATTAAATATCATCATTTGAACTTTGGCTTTCCTCAAAAGAAAAGCCAGAAAAAACTGGTTAAAAAAGCATTATCATGTAACACAGAATCAGGAGACAGAACGAGAGAAACAGAAGCCAAAAGAAGGGATGAAAATGATGGAGAAGAAGATAAAGATGATGAGGAAAACAGCTTCAAATGGGAAGCATCTTGAATTGATGTTTGTGAATATCAATGAATATTTTTCATTCTTTCCATCATCTTGATACAATTGAGAGAGAAAAACGGCGAAAAAACTCTTTTCTCTTCATCATGTTGTCTCTATTACTCTGTCAAGTTGAATGTTGTGTTTATCATCTTGACACTGGAATGAAACGTTCAACTAATTATCCGGTTCATCAGTGAAATCAGTAAACTCTTTTTTTTTCCTCTCTTCTCATCATTTTCCTCTTTACCATGACAGAGTAAAAGGAAATGCTAATGATGCTTAAACTCATCATCAACACGAAATTATGAAATTTTGTTCACTTTTTTCTCTTCTTCTTTCCATGAACCTGAACAATTTGCTCTGTTGATTAATTGTGTTTGCCCAAATTGGTCTGTCTGTTTGTTTAATCCAATCGTATGCCTTCAATGAAAAATGTTCAATGTAAACACTGACTGGTTGACAGGACTGTCAACTTGAACTTTAACTCTATTTAAATAACAATTTGTCAACAATAATTTTGGAACATTTTTCAACTTTTTTTCTCCTTCTCTTCTGTTCACCGTCAAGCCAATTTGACAATAAACTTGAGTTGATTTAATATTTAACCTAATCATTGGGAAATTGTCATCATTTGTCTCATTATTTGATTAACTAGTCAAACATTTCGAGGGTTGACCTTTTTGGTTCACTTTAAAGATGAAAAGGGAAATATTGATTTAAAGTGTTTTCTCGTTTTCCTTTTTTTCCCACTATTAATAGCATCATGAAATATGAGTTAATGGTAATTGAATTTGAAGAACGTATGAAATTGAAAGATAATCAAAATTTGTTTTTTTTTTGCTTTTCTTTTCTCGCTTTTTTTGTCTTATCATTCCTTCACTTATTACACTGAATAAATCACCAGCAATCAAGGGAATGCATTCTGGTTGAATATCAAATGATAATGATGGAAATTGCATTTGATGGAGAAAACAAAAAGTGTATAAAATTGTTGCCATCATTTTGATTGAATAATATGTGTTGATGAGGAAGGGAAAGGTTTGCTTGTTCGCCCTGTTACTTACTTGGATTAAGTTGGACAAGAGGTGAGAACCAGAGTAAAAATAGAATCCGAGTGATGAGGAAAGATGTCGATAATGATGATGAGGAAGATGATGAGGAGTACGAGGAGGAAGAGTAATTTGTTTGGATCAATGTGAAGAATAAATATTTGACCGAATCATTTCGATCAAATATTTTCATTTGAATTAATTTACTCATCAAGTAGCACATAAAGATAAGATGAATCGATGAATCCCTGATTTTTGGGTGAACACACACACAAATCAGAACATGATGAAATTGTTTCACAAAAAGTGGACATTAGCGTGTCACGAGTCACATTAAATCCAAAGTGGGAAAAGAAAAAAATTTTTTACATTAAATGAATTTCCATTGAAAATGTTGGGAAGGGAAAGTAAAGAAAAGGAAAAATGAATACAAGTTGAACAATTGTTATTACATGATGCCAATTGTCACCATTATTGTTATCAATTGGAATAACGATGAATGAAGATGGAATAATGATAATAGAAAAAATAGAGTAAAAATGATTTGAATGAGATTCTGATCAGTTCTGTGGCTTTCTCAAGTGAAAGGGTATAAAAGTGAAAGTAAAATGCTGGGAAAATACAAATCGAGTGAGATTATTCTTCTTTTCCCCATTGACTCACTTTCATGATAAGAGCATGCTTATCAGTCTATCGTTGCCTATAAGATGCTGGGAGTGAAAGCAGGGAAGTCGATTGTCGCAATGAGTCGAACGGACTCGAGTGTAATCTCATGTTGGAATGATGTTGAAAGAAAAAGATTTTGGGTTCATCGATAAATTGATTGTTCATTGACTTTTCAGTGAACAAGTAAAGATTAAATTCTAGGTGATTAACCATGATTTGTTAATTGATGCACAAAGTCGTCTAAATTGTCTGTCAGTTTTTTACGACAAAAAAAAGATGATTCACTTTGAAGTTGTCAGTGAGGAATGATGTGAGTTTAATTGAAGCTTTTGAAGACCTTTTTTTTGTGCTGCTGTCTTGGTCCAAGTATTATTACAATGATAATTGAAGATGAGGAAGAAAGTTTGACATGAATTAAAGATATTATTTGGGATGGAATGATGATTATGATGAAGATGGGTCAAGATAAGGCAAGACTTGCAATGATATTAACAAGGATCAAGGAGACTGGGCAAGGTTAATGGATTGATAAAGAGGGAAACAAAAAGGTATTAGGTGGATATTTATTGAACATGTTTTACTCAGTGAATACATATTTATGTTTCATACTCATGTTTATCAACATTTTACTCTTGCCACTCGTCTTCACATCAATAATCAGTTAATCAGTTTTATCAAATGGCAATAATTTGAGCAAAAAAGTCATCCTCAAGAGATGGATTCTTGCGTAAAACGAAAACACTTTTAGGTTAAAACTGGTTTATTCATAAGTCAAAAAAATGCAAGAAAATGATGTTTTTTAGTTTCTATTTGATATTTTCTTGTTCATGTTTCAATCTGACTTTTGAATAAATATTCATGAAAATCGAGAGACAGTTTTTTATGTTCAAAATTGGGAAACTGTTTACAAGTTTGGATACAAATTTTGGGAAACAATTTTGTTGTTGGACAAAAATCTTTAATGGTTAGTCTTTTGATGTTGAACTTTTTGGATTGAACTCTTTTTTTCCATTGGATCATTTGAATATAATGGACATTATTTTGTTGAAATTAACGGTAACTTGATTGACCAAGGTAAATGTATAGTTTGAAGGGTCAATCAAAATAAATGATGTTCCATTAGAACCTTTTATTCTCTGTAAAATTTTCTTCTCTTTGATTTCACTCTGAATCTCGCAAGATTTACTTTCTTTACCTTTGATCTAACTGTACTTTTTTTATCCTCTCTTGTCCATGAAAATGTGCATTTATCGATTAATCTTGAGAATTCTCAGTTTATTTAGTTCTTTTTGGGTATAACCACCAACATCATTATCATCATTGATGATGTTTTTGACGAGGAAACCTTTTTGTAGCTGAAAAATGGATTGGAAAAAAAGAAGCTTTTAACTTTGGCTCAGGGAAACTGAAACTGATTGCAAACGGAAATTGATTCAATCTCAAGTAACTTTCAATATAAAACTAGCCTTTTCTATTTCAATCTTTGTCATCATTTCCATCATGCAACACCAACTAAATAAGCAACAACCTTTCCCAACCCAAGTTTACTTGTCATCAAATGAATCTTTTTGTGGACTTAAGACGGCAAGAAACTCCTTTTCCGGTTCAACTCTTTTTATTCAACCCTTGAAAATGGTGAAAATCGATGATAAAATCGGAAAAAACTGAACAAAAAGTCATTCTGGTCTTCAACTTGAGTAAAAATTTCACCTTTCAAACAATTAAAGAGTTCAAATTGACATAATGTATCGACAATCCTACAATATATGCAATGTCGATTTCAGCTCATTATGACCCACAAGCCTTTCAACAACAGAATCAAATAATTTTTTACATTCCAAATGGTTAAATTCAAATGATGAAACTTTAAGGAATAAATTTAATGAGATAAATCGATTTCAAAGTGAATTTTGGTTTAGTATGTTTACCTTTTCACTTATGCACAAATTGTGTTCATTCATATTGGAATGAGTTATTATATTTAACATCTGCAACATTGGTATAGCATCAAGAATTGAAATCAAAACCCACGAAAGGAATGAAATACTTGAAATGTTAAAGCGAATAAAAAACTTGAAATTTCTTCCAAAATGAAAGTGATTTTATTAATAGTTTATTGGGTTGAACCAGAAAAGACTAAATTGTCGTTAGAAGAGTGTTGTTGGCGAAATGTCTGTTCCTTTGGTTGGTCTTTACCCTCGAATTGAAATCCAGTGTAGAATGATAATTATCGCATCAGTATTATCATGGTAATCAAGTCTAAACAATTACACTTGATTTGAACAATAAATATTCTTAAAAAGATAAATATTTAAAAGAATAATGAAGTTAGATTTGACTTTCTTGTAACCAAGTTTTGCTGTGATCATCATTGTTACTCGAGCAATTCAAAAAGATACAATTCAAGTGTTGAAACTGTCTGTGTAAGCACAAAAAAGACTGATTCATTTGAATAGCAAGACTGTTTAGTGTTTCGTTAAACTTGGTTGAATGTTGAAAATGCTTATTAAAGCAAAAGAGCAAAATGTATCCTTTTTCAATCGCATTTTTCCCACTGTTTAACAGTATTTAACCGTTGAATCCAGTAACAGTTGATTCCTTCATCTAAGACTTTATATCTTTCCAAATTTATTGAACATTTGAGTTAAAGATGAGTTTATTGCAAATTAATCCATCCTATTACCAAATCAAACAATTATTCAGACAACCTTTTCCTTCTGTACATTTATCTTGTCTCAGATGAAGAAGGAAAAGTTTCACTCTCCGGAAACTTGTTCAATTATAAATCACCAAAGCTCAGTTTTGAAAACTATACACAGTATAATGATGATGATGAAGTTCTTGTTTCCGATTTAAGTTGATAAAAAACTTGGTAAAGCTGTTTCAGGCACAAAACCTTTTCATTTAAACACCATTAAAGAGCTCTTTTTTATCCTTTTAACTCTTGATTTTTCACTGTGACAACCAATTGAAATTGTGGTGATTCTTGCCAGTTATAAGATGAAAACTGTCAGGATAATGATTAATAACATTGGGAAACACTTTGAGTTTAATCTAATTGTAGGCAAGAAGATGAATCAAGTTTAACAATGTATCAACCTTAAAATACTTTTGTCAATTTTAAATTTAATTTCAAACCAATAACATGAAAGTGGTACAAAACATTTTGCTTTTCATTAACAAATGAAAAGATTAGTCTAAAAGCGTAAAATGAAATTTGTCATGTTGGCATTTCTTTGAAAAATTTTAGCCATTCTTTAGCTATATCTTCGGGAATAGCAAATTTTCCCTCAGAATCAATCAACTTTGAGTCTTTACAGGCAATCTTTGCCCAGGGTTGCTTTTTAGGAGGCGGACAGGTGACTGGAATTGCATCTTGCTCGTATTTCTCGAGCAATCCATCTTGAATCAATCGGTTAATACAATCAATTTGGAGACATCGGCTTCTATCAATCTTGGTTCTTGTTCCAAGAACATGATCCTTCAAGCTGGTTAATCGGTTCGATTGATGACCACAATAGGTACATTGGAATGCAAAACTAAGACATTCCGTCTTTCTTCTTTCCATCTTTTCTATTTCAATTCTTTTTCTTTCCATTCTTTCTCTTTCGGTCATTTCTGTTCTCACTCTTTTGCTTTCCATAATTTCTCCTTTCTTATCTTCTCTTTCGGTTGTTTTTCTTGTCATGATTCTTCGTTTCATCGATTTTCTTTCTTTCTCTCTTTGCATCCCTTCCGTTTCTATCATTAATCTTCCCGATGGGCCAAGTACTAATCGTGCACTCGGCTCAGGCCCATCAAGCAAGAATCTTTGCAAAAGAGGATCCTTTTCAGAATCTTGCGTTCCTGGAAACGAATCCTTCACCATTTTGACAGCCTCATCATCAACCAGGACTCTACCAATCGTACTGAGACGATACAGGGGCCCATGATCAGCTGTGGCTGGAACATAACCAATAATTCTTGTGAGTGTGTCCCTTTGAGCCATTCCAATCTTTTTACAAAACCAATCAGGAGTTTTTACTACACGTCCCACGTTGGGATGAGCTTTTCTTGCACCAATAAATTCAGATAAGTCTGTTGAAAAAAACGCAACATTACGAGCTGTAAACTCACTATTTTTTGTTTAATTTATCATCATAATATTCACCTTCTGGAAATTCTTCATCAGTAGGTTCAGTTTTAATATTGATCTTTCTATCAGAATCTGTAATTCTTCTTCCCGTCGTGTTTCTTTCTTTCTCTTCTTCCATGTTTCTTAATATTTCCATCCTTGTTCTGCTCGCTTTTGAAAGTACTAATGGTGTACTCGGATTGGGCCCACCGAGCAAGAATCTTTGAACAAGAGTATCTTTCCCTTTAACAATTTCTTTGATTTTAACTTCTGATAACCTCGAGTCCAGCACCATTTTTACAGTCACACTATCAATCAATACTCTACCAACCGTTTTGATAATGTACTCCGGCTCGCTATCAGCTGTGGCTGGAATATGACCAACTATTCTCGTGATTGTGTCCTCTTGATTAATTTTATACTTTTTACAAAGCCAATCAGGAGTTTTAGCTAAAACTAAATACTCTGCGTCTGGATGAGCTTTGATTGCAGCAAAAAATTCAGATGAGCCTGTTGAGAAAAATACGCAACATAACGAGCTGTAAACTCACTATTTTTTGTTTACTCTATCATCTTAATATTTACCTTCTGGAACTTCTTCATCAGTAGGTTCAGTTTTAATATTGATCTTTCTTTCAGAATCTGTAAAAAAAACAATATTTGTAAAGATATGTATAAAAAATTATAAAAGATAACAAAATGAATAAGTTTCAAAGACGGGATGATAATAGTTTCAATCACATTTGAAGCGTTTGAAATTTAATTTCATTAGTTTCAAAACTGAACTGCGGAATACCAAAACAGAGGATAATTTTTTAAAAAATTTGAAATCAGTTAACTTTTTCATCATAAATCAAGAGACAAATGAAAATAAACGAAGGAAAAATGTAAAGGTTCAAGTTATTGGCTACATGCTGTATCAAAGTCGTCTGTTTACTTCTGTGATTGAAGTTGAGCCGAAAGAAGAAAGAACGATGTTTTATCAACTACCGTTCAAGGTAAAGGTACCAACAAAGTTAGACACTTACCAGAATCCATTTTGTGGACAATTTTGAAAAAACTGTTAATTTAAAAATAGTAATAATAATAAATACTAAAACAATAACGTGAAAATAAGACTCCGAACTTGAGACGCTGCAACTTTAGTTGATGACCAGCGTAATTGCCTGACCTCAGGTTAGATGACGCTCCAGTCGTTGGCGCGCAAAATTTAACTACACTAGAGGTCAAGGTTAAGTTAAGAAAATTGGAGATTTTTTTTCATAGTCGCCATCTAACAAGAAATAAGAGTACCTTTAAGATCGAATTTAATTTTTCAGATTTTTATTTGTAACATTCAAACATTAAGTGTTTAAATTGAGAAAGAGAAATGGTAGAAATTATTCTCCTCTTTCTTTATTCTGTCTATTTCCCTGTCTTGACAAATCTATTTCTAATTCTTAACAATGGTCAGAAGGGCAAAACTAACTCTTTATTTTAACTAAAGGATTATTGAGTTGAGTGGGAATTATGACTCCAAAGTGGTGACTTGGAAATGACTGGAATTAGTGCTTGGACATAGTATTTATTTAATTATTAGTGCAACTAAATTTAGTTAATTCAATGGGATATTGTCCGCTATATGATTATTATTAGTAAATACAAGAAACTAATGCGATCATGGCTGATCGCAAGTTTCTTTTGACCACCCATGCTAACTGTCTTTTCACGGTAATGTCCACCACCCAATCTAACACATTCGCCAAATCAACTAAATCAAACACCACTTTTTGTCCACCACTTTCATTAACCACTTTAGAGTGGCTTTTTTGCATTACATTTACAAACACTTTTTCTTATAAGATTATCCACCACCCAAATCCACCAAATTTTTGACCACTTTTTGAGATATGATGACGATTAATAGTGGACATGCTAGATGGTGTAAAAGTGGTCAAGATGGTGCAATGGTGACAATTTTGTTGAGAAAAGTCTTTTTGTTTATGTTGTTTTGGTTGATTTGGTGGATGTGTTGGATTGAGTGGTAGACAGTATGGTGAAAAAAGCCTTTCTTTACTCTTTACTCAAATGACAAATTTTTACATAAAATCCTGGTCCAACAATGAAACATCAACCCGAATAACAAAAAAGTTTTTCCCCCTCTCTCAATGTTATTGGATACGGATTCTACATTTTTTCCCCCATTCTCTATTTTCATGAATTTCTCAGAGGTTATGAGATTCTGAGGTTAGGTTTTCTATTTTTCGTCGTTGTAGTTGAATCAGGGCTTTCAGACTGTGTAATTTTTTTTCTTGGAACCCGCTCCGTTCAGCCACAATCTTGACGCAAAAATTTGATACTTTGACTTTATATATTGTATAGATTATTAAATGGTCTTAAAATCTTACATATTGTTTAGTGTCTCTTAAAACGGTAAATGCTCGAGATGGCGACACTTAAAAATTAACTTAAGTCTGACCCTTTTTTCTTAACTTAACCCTGACTACTAGTGTATTTCATTTGCAAAAAAGCAAAAGTATCTTAATAAATAATGATCAGAAAAGATTAGCAAAATGTTTTAAAAACTATTTTATTCATGATTTCAAGCCTCCTATTGTTTGATAGTTTTAAAAACATTTTGACCTTCATTCACAAATGAAAAGATTACAGTAAAAGTGTAAAAAAAATTTCATGTTGGCATTTCTTTGAAAAAACCCAACCATTCTTTTGCTATATCATCACAATCGTCTTCGGATCTTTACCCAGATTTTAGGAGGATTTTCCAGGAGGCCTTTGTTTTTCCTCTTTTCTCTTTCAGCCGTTTTTCTCGTCATGATTCTTCTTTTTATCGTTTTTCTTTCCATCTCTCTTTTGATCTTTAATTCTTCCCTTCTTATTTGCCTCTTCAAAAATTGTTCAATTGATATTGCTGCTCGAGTACTCGGATTGGACCCACCTGACAAGAATTCTTGAACTTTAGTTTCCTCCTTTTCAAATTCTTCCTTCGTTATCTCTGCAATTCCCATACTCTTCAACATTTTGGCGGTCTCACTGCCAATTATTGCTCGAAAAAGCGTTTCCCAAACAGACACCGCCTCGCGATCTGCTGTGGCTGGAACATGATCGACTTTTCTTGTGAATGTGTCTTCTTGGTCAATTTTATACTTTTTGCACAGCCAATCAGGAGTTTTAACTAAACTTCAACTTTCTTTGAAGGAGGCAGCATTCTTGCAGTAATAAATTCAACCGATGAGACTGTTAAGAAAAATTGACACTTATAGCTGTAAACTCACTATTTTTTTATTCATTTATCATCATAATATTCACCTTTTTGATCTTCATGGGTAGGTTCAGTCTTAATTATATCGTTTTTATCAGTTATAATGCCAAGAAAACGTTGTGAAAAGCAGTATTTTGGCAAATCTGTATAAGATAGCGAGGAAAAATGAATAAGTTGTAAAACCATGACGGTAATTTTTGCAGTTGAAGTGTTTGGAAATTAAATTAACTATTTTGAAAACTAAACTGAAGAATATCAGAACAGGCGATAATTTTTTGAACTTTAAAATCGCTTAATTTTTTCATCATCAGTCAAGAAATAAATGCAAAAAACAAGGAGAAACGTGGAGGCCCAAATTTTTTGCTACATGTTGTATTAAAGTCGTCTGTTTACTTCTGTGATTGAAGTTGAGACGAAAGAATAAAGAACGATCTTTGACCAACTAATGTTCAAGGTAAAGGTATCAACAAAGGTAGAGCCTTACCAGAATCCATTTTTTGGACAATTTTTGAAAAATATAGTTAATTTAAAAAATAATAAGGAAAAAAACTAAATGAATAACGTGTAAATAAGACTCCGAACTTGAGCAACTGCAACTTTAGTTGACGACTAGAGTAATTAACTGACCTCAGGTTAGATGACGCTCAAGTCGTTGACGCGCAACATTTAATTATTTCATTTACAAATGATTCAAAAGTTTCTTTATTTTCACTGTAACAACCAATTGAAATTGTGGTGATTCTTGCTTGTTATAAGATGAAAACTACCAGGGTAATGATGAATGACAATGGTAAACAATTCGAGTTTGATCTGATTGTAGTCAACGTAAGAGATGAATCAAGTTTAACAATGTATCAACCTTCTTCTGGCGACAAATCGAGACTGTTTTTAGTCGGAGTCTTTTGGGAGCAAATTGAGACTGTTTTTATTCCCAATAAATATTGTGCTTACTATACACATGAATAAATAATTGCTATAAATATTTCATTTCATCTGTCTCACAATTAACTACTTTCATTTTTTTTCGCCCTTTGAACGATATCCCTAATCTCGCGAATCCAACGTAAACTATTGAAATGTCTAATCTAGCGAGATCAGCCCGGGCGTTTAATTTTCCTTATTCTTTAATTAATTTGTTTTTTCATTTAGCTCTTAAACTTGTTGAGTGCTGAAACCGCATCAAGGTTTAATTTTCTTTCTTTTTATTGGACCTTCACTTTGTGCTCGAAGCGTATGGTTTCCAACTACTAATGAGGAATGTCAAAACAGAGGATAATTTTTTGGACAACTTATAATCGATTAACTTTTTATCATAAATCAAGAGACAAATGAAAATAAACGAAAGAGAAAAGTAAAGGCCCAAATTACATGTCGTCTGTTTACTTCTGTGATTGAAGTTGAGACGAAAGAATAAAGAACGATCGTTCATCAATTAATATTCAAGGTAAAAATATCAACAAAGGTAGAGACTTACCAGAATCCATTTTGTAACCAATTTTGAAAAATACTGTAATTTAAAAATAATGCGGAAAAAAACTAAATGATCAACGTAAGTAAATAAAGACTCCGAACTTGAGCAGCTGCAACTTTACGACCAGGCTGATCGAACCAACGTAATTAACTGACCTCAAGTTAGATGACGCTCCAATCGTTGACGGCGCAACATTTTATTACTTAATTTATAAATGATTGAAAAGTTTTTAAATTTTCACTGCGACAGAAATTGAAATTGTGGTGATTCTTTCCAGTTATAAGATGAGAACAAGATTAAAACTGTCAGGATAATGATTAATAACAATGGTTAACACTTAGAGTTTAATCTGATTGTAATCGACGTAAAAGAGATGAATAAAGTTCAACAATGTATCAACCTTAAAATACTTTTGTCAATTTTAAATTTAATATCAAACCAATAATATGAAAGTGATACAAACCATTTTGCTTTTCATTAACCAAATTAAAGATTTTTGCAAAAGTGTAAAGTGAAATTTGTCATTTTGGCATTTCTTTGAAAATTCTTAGCCATTCTTTAGCTATATCTTTGGGAATGACAAATTTTCCATTAGAATCAATCAGCTTTGGATCTTTACATGTAATCTTTGCCCAGATTTGCTTTTTAGGAGGCGGACAGGGGAGGGGAATCGCATCGTATAGTTTAGTGACAATATCATCCTTGTATTTCTTTAATAATCCATCTTCTACTAATCGTTTACGACATTGAATTCGTTGACATCGTCTCCTGTAAAGTTTGGCTCTGGTTCCAAGGACATGATTCTTCAAAATGGCTAATCGTTTCCACTGACGACCACAATAGGTACATTCAAATACAAAAATAGGACTTTCCGTTGTTTCTCTTCTCACCGTTTCGCTTTCCATCATTTTGTTTTTCCTCTTTTCTCTTTCAATCGTTTTTCTTGTCATAATTCTTCTTTCCGTCGTTTTTCTTCTCGCTTCAAGTACTAATCGTGTACTTGGACTGGGCCCACCAAGCAAGAATCTTTGAACAAGAGGATCTTTCTTTTCAATTTCTGATATTCCTATAAGCCCCAAATCCATCGCCATTTTGGCAGCCTCACTACCAATCAGTGCTCTACCAATCGTTTTGAAACAGTATAATGGCCCGTGATCGGCTGTGGCTGGAGCATAACCAACTACTCTTGTGAGTGTGTCTTCATGATTAATTTTATACTTTTTGCATAGCCAATCAGGAGTTGCAGCATAAACTGCAGCTTTCGCGTTTGGGTGAGCTTTTATTGCAGCAACGAATTCGAGAGATCAGATTGTCGAGAAAAAACGCAACATTACGAGCTGTTAAATTACTTTTTTTGTTTTACTTTATCATCATAATATTTACCTTCTGGAACTTCTTCATCAGTAGGTTCAGTTTTAATATTGACCTTTCTTTCAGAATCTGTAATAAAAATAAAAGACATGATGATAATTTCAATCACAGTTGAACCGTTTTAAAATTACAGTGCGTCGCAAAAATAACCAACCAGTGTTAACTCTTGACAAGAAGATGATAATTGAAAGAAATTTAGCACATTATTAGCAACTAATTAGGCAAGTTTGCAGAAATAGAAACAAAGTTTCTAGTCAGTCGATTAGTCTAGTTTTAGTGTCCGAACCAAAATGTATATTTCATTGAACAAGCGTTATGAAATTGTTTTTTTACATTTGAACCAATACGGTCCGAAATTCAGTCAAAGCAAAATATCGAAGTTATTAAAGTGTTCTTTAAATCAAGTTAAGTATTGGGTAAAAAGATACCAAGATGATGATGATTTAAGTTACTCAAGTTCATCTGGTCGACCAAGGGCTACAAGCAGTAGAGATGACGAGCGGATTGTTGACCTAGCGAATGATGATAAGGACCTGACCGCTAATCAAATCGCTACAAAAATACAGAGGAGAGGTAAGCGATTATCTAAATCTACAATTTGTCGACGTTTGAAGGAAGCAAAAGCCCGTTTCGAGCAGAAGATGCAGAAACCGTTGCTAAGTGAGAGACAAATCAAAGTTCGATTGCAATGGGCATTGGAACATAGAGATTTTGATTGGAACAAAGTTATTTTTACTGATGAATCTACCTTCCAACTCTTTGCAAACAAGAAAAAAGTCTGGCAATTACCTGGTGCACGAAAAGTTAATCGAACCGTCAAGCATCCTGGCAAAGTTCACGTTTGGGGTTGCTTCTGCTCGAATGGTTTCGGTAAGCTCTATATTTTTACTAGGAATTTGGATGCAAGACTTATGCTGAAAATCTATAAGTACAAGTTGTTACCATCAGCAAAAAAGTTTTTTGGTGATCAAAATAGCGATTGGGTACTGCAAGAAGATAACGACCCTAAACATCGATCAAAACTGTGTACGGCTTGGAAGGTAGAAAATGGCGTCAATGTACTGACTTGGCCAAGTCATTCTCCCGATCAAAACCCAATAGAAAACCTTTGGCACATTCCAAAGATTAGATTTAGTGCAAAAAAGTTCACCTCAATCCCAGCATTAAAGCAGGCCATACGAAAAGAGTGGAAGAAACTCGAAAAAGATCTTGCTGAAAAATTGGTCGAATCGATGCCGAAAAGAATTGAAGCTTTAATTAACAATGGTGGTGATTACACCTTATATTGACAACTCAGTAGAGTCAATTCCATATGAAAAATAAAGATTTAATAAGTTTAATTGTTATTTGTAAAAGTTATATATGGTTGGTTATTTTTGACACCTACTGTAATTTCTTAAGTTTCAAAACAAAACTGAGGATAATTTTTTGAAAAACTTAGCAATCAGTTAACTTTCATCATAAACCAAGACTAAACGTAAAGGCAAAGTTATTTTCTAACGAAAGCTACATGCTACATTATTGAAAGTCGTCTGTTTACTTTTGTGATTGAAGTTGAGACGAAAGAACGACATTTGATCAACTAATGTTCAATGTAAAGGTATCATCAAAGGTAGCGACTTACCGGAATCCATTTTGTGGCCAATTTTTGAAAAAAAATTGTTTAAAAAAAATAAAAATAAAAAATTAATTTAAAAATATTAAGGAAATTGAATAAGGACAAATAAGACTCCGAACTTGAGCAACTGCAACTTTATTGACGACCAACGTAATCAACTGACCTCAAGTTAGATGACGCTCCAATCGTTGACGCGCAACATTTAATTATTTCATTTTCAAATATTAATAATAACAATTTAGAAGTTTCTTAAATCATGATCAGAAAAATATTTTTAAAACTATTTTATTCATAATTTCAAGCCTCATTTCGTTTGATAGTTTTGCATAAATTTTTTTCATGTTGGCATTTCTTTGTTGGCACGTCATCCTTGTATTTCTCGAATAATCCATCTTGTAACAATAGTTTACGACAATGAATTCGCAGATATTATTTACCCAAAAATTCGGCTCTTGTTCCAAAGACATGATTCAAATACAGGTACGTTCAAATACAGGGTCCGCCACAAAACATGTCAGCCTGTATTTTTTGAATAACTTTTTTATTTTTTCGTCAATCAAGCTCATTCTCACAGAAAATAATCTTGAATAAAGGGGAAACAAAGATATGGACCGGTCAAATTTTTCGGGTATCGCAGGTCAAAATGGCGCCTGCGCAAAAAAAAGTCATTTTCAGACCCAATGTTATTCAATGAGGCTTTCATAGACAGATTTCTGAGATACTATGCACATTTTTCAGTCCAGAATAACTCCATAGGGCTTTTCTTGCCCCTGGCACCTATTGAGTAGCAAAATAATACTGCTCCATCACATCAATGCTTTATTTGTCAATTTGCTCGAATTTTCGCATGATGAAGTGGCCTATTCAATCGGCTATAAATTGCTTTTATCAGAACGCAATGACAAAATTATTTCAGAACATTGGCGAGTGACTAACAAAGTTTGTAAAACAGTGCAAAAAACTTAAAAATATCTGTACAGTCGAAAAAGATAGAACAAAAACCCGTACGACGCCCGAAAATTGTACCTGTATTTCGCGCAGGCGCAATTTTGACCTGCGATACCCGAAAAATTTGACCGGTCCATATCTTTGTTTCCCCCTTATTCAAGATTATTTTCTGTGAGAATGAGCTTGATTGACGAAAAAATAAAAAAGTTATTCAAAAAATACAGGCTGACATGTATTGTGGCGGACCCTGTACAAAGATAGGATTTTCCATCGTTTCGCTTTCAGCCGTTTTTCTCGTCATAATTAAAAAAATAAAATCGTTTCGTAAAAAATAGTGAAAAGAAGCTCAAATATCGAAAAATTCCAGATCGCTGGTTTAAGAGATCGACTTAGCAAAAAGACTTCGATCTAATTGTAGTCACGAAGATGAATCAAGTTCAACAATGTATCAACCTTAAAATACTTCAGTCAATTTTAAATTTAATATCAAATCACTAATATGAAAGTGAAAACATTTTGCTCTTTATTAACAAATGAAAAGATTAGTGTAAAAGTGTAAAATGAAATTCGTCATGTTGGCATTTCTTTGAAAAATTTTAGCCATTCTTTAGCTATATCTTCGGGAATGTCAAATTTTCCCTCAGAATCAATCAACTTTGGGTCTTTACAGGTAATCTTTGCCCAGGGTTGCTTTTTAGGAGGCGGACAGGTGACTGGAATTGCATCTTCCTCGTATTTCTTGAGTAATCCATCTTGAATCAATCGGTTAATACAATCAATTTGGAGACATCGGCTTCTATCAATCTTGGTTCTTGTTCCAAGAACATGATCCTTCAAGCTGGTTAATCGGTTCGATTGATGACCACAATAGGTACATTGGAATGCAAAACTAAGACATTCCATCTTTTCTCTTTCAACTTTTTTTCTTTCCATTCTTTCTCTTTCGGCCATTTCTCTTCCCCCTCTTTTGCTTTCCATAATTTCTCGTTTCCTATTTTCTCTTTCAGTTGTTTTTCTTTTCATGGTTCTCAGTTCTATCCATTTTCTTTCTTTCTCTCTTTGCACCCCTTCCGTTTCTATCATCAATCTTCCCGATGGGCCAAGTACTAATCGTGTACTCGGCTTGGGCCCACCCAGAAAGAATCCTTTCAAAAGAGGATCCTTTTCAAAATCTTTCGATGTAATTTTTGGAACTCCCGAATCCAGCAACATTTTGACAGCCTCATCATCAACTATGGCTCTACCAATCGTACTGAGACGATACAGGGGCTCATGATCAGCTGTGGCTGGAACATAACCAATAATTCTTGTGAGTGTGTCCCTTTGAGTAATTCCATGCTTTTTACAAAACCAATCAGGAGTTTTTACTACACGTTCCGCGATGGGATGAGCTTTTCTTGCACCAATAAACTCAGGTGAGGCTGTCGAGAAAAAAACGCATTATTACGAGCTGTAAACTCACTATTTTTTATTTCATTTATCATCATAATATTCACCTTCTGGAACTTCTTCATCAGTAGGTTCAGTTTTAATATTGATCTTTCTTTCAGAATCTGTAAAAAAACAAATTACAAATGAAAAAAACAATATTTGAAAGATCTGTATAAAAAATCATATAAGATAACATAATGAATAAGTTTCAAAGACGTGATGATAATAGTTTCAATCACATTTGAAGCGTTTGAAATTATATTTCATTAGTTTCAAAACTGAACTGCGGAATATCAAAACAGAGGATGATTTTTTAAAAAATTTGAAATCAGTTAACTTTTCCATCATAAATCAAGAGACAAATGAAAATAAACGAAGGAAAAATGTAAAGGTTCAAGTTATTGGCTACATGCTGCATCAAAGTCGTCTGTTTACTTCTGTGATTGAAGTTGAGCCGAAAGAAGAAAGAACGATGTTTTATCCACTAATGTTCAAGGTAAAGGTACCAACAAAGTAAGAAACTTACCAGAATCCATTTTGTGGACAATTTTGAAAAAAACTGTTAATTTAAAAAATAATAATATAAATACTAAAGCAATAACGTGTAAATAAGACTCCGAACTTGAGCAGCTTCAACTTTAGTTGACCAGCGTAATTAACTGACCTCAGGTTAGATGACGCTCCAGTCGTTGGCGCGCAAAATTTAACTATTTCATTTGCAAAAAAAGCAAAAGTATCTTAAATCATGATCAGAAAAGATTAGCAAAATGTTTTTAAAATTATTTTATTTATGATTTCAAGCCTACTCGTTTGATAGTTTTAAAAACATTTTGACCTTCATTCACAAATGAAAAGACTAATGTAAAAGTGTAAAATGAAATTTTTCATGTTGCATTTGAAAAAAGCCAACCATTCTTTAGCTATATCATCGGAAATGGCAAATTTTCACTTTGAATCAATTATCTTCGGATCTTTACCCAGATTTGCTTTTTAGGAGGATTTTCCATCGCTTCGCTTTTCCTCTTTTCTCTTTCAGCCGTTTTTCTCGTCATGATTCTTCTTTTCATCGTTTTTCTTTTCATCTCTCTTATGATCTTTAATTCCTCCCTTCTCATTTGTTTCTTCCAAAATTGTTCTTTTGATATTGCTGCTTGAGTACTCGGATTGGGTCCACCTGTCAAGAATTCTTGAACACCATGCTTTTCCTTTTCAAATTCTTCCTTCGCCATCTCTGGGATTCCCATACTCTTTAGCATTTTGGCGGTCTCACTGCCAATCATTGCTCGGACAAGCGTTTCCCAAACAGACATCGCCTCGCGATCTGCTGTGGCTGGAATATGATCAACTACTCTTGTGAACGTGTCTTCTTGATCAATTTTATACTTTTTGCACAGTCAATCAGGAGTTTTAACTAAAACTTCCTGCTTTGCTAAAATTCCAGCTTTCCTTACAGGAAGCTGCAATCTTGCACTAATAAATTCAACTGATGAGACTGTTAAGAAAAAGTGACACTAAAAGCTTTAAATTCACTATTTTCACATTTATTTCATCATCATAGAATTCACCTTTTGGATCTTCATCAGCATGTTCAGTCTTAATAATATTTTTTGCATCAGTTAGCTTTCCAAGGAAACTTTGCAAACGAAAAAAGCAATATTTTGGCAAATCTGTATAGCGGTTAAGATAGCGGTGAAAAATGAATAAGTTGTAATAATACGATGGTAATTTTCGCAGTTTGAAAGTGTTTGGAAATTAATTTCATTAGATTGAAAACTGAACTGAGCTATGTCAAAATAGAGGATAATTTTTTTACAAACGTAAAATCGGTTAACTTTTTCATCATAAGCCAAGAGACAAATGAAAATAAACAAGGAAAAACGTAGAGGCCCAAATTTTTTGCTAAATGCTGTATTAAAGTCGTCTGTTTACTTCTGTGATTGAAGTTGAGCCGAAAGAATAAAGAACGATCGTTCATCAATTAATATTCAAGGTAAAAATATCAACAAAGGTAGAGACTTACCAGAATCCATTTTTTGGACAACTTTTGAAAAATACTGTTAATTTAAAAAATAATAACGAAAAAAATAAATGAATAACGATGAATAAGAATCAAAAATTGAGAAACTGCAACTTTAGTAGACTCCGAAGTCAGCCGATCGAGTCAGCCAAGCAGTCGACTCGGGCTCCTCCGAGTCGAAGTTGAAATTTTTTTCAGCTGAGTCGGCTGAGTCGACTCTAGCTGGGGTCAACTCAGTCGATTTTTTTGTCGCATTTTCAACAAATAAACACCAACCACATGCTCTCCATGCTGTTTTTATTTTACTTAAATTATTTACAGTGAGGTCTCTCTTAGTCTAACGCTTTCTTTAGTCTCTTAGTCTCTTACTTTTTTAGTTAAAAGCGTTAGACTAAGAGAGACCCCACTGTATTGTAATTCCATCAACCTTTGTCACTCAAACTTTATTTTTTACTAGTGTTGAGTCTTACTCTGAGTCGACTTGAGTCGACTTGAGTCGATTTATTGATGAGTCGATGGAGTCGACTCGAGTCGACTGCCAGTCGATTAAACGTCCAGTCAGTCAGTCGTTGAAAAAACGGCTGACTTCGGAGTCTAAACTTTAGTTACAGCGAAAAATGTAATTAACTGACCTAAGGTTAGATGACGCTACAATCGTTGACGCGCAAAATTTAATTATTTCATTTACAAAAAATTCAAAAGTTTCTTAAATTATGATTCAAAAAGATTAGGGAAATGTTTTTAAAACTATTTTATTCATGATTTCAAGCTGTATTTTGTTTGATAATTTAAATAAAAATTCTCATGTCGGCATTTCTTTGAAAAATTTAACCATTTTTAAAGTATGACGAGTAATGTTTTGGACTAATTTGGACAGGGGCGATGAATCGCATTGTATCGTCTCGTGCGAATAGCATCCTTGTGTTTCTCGAATGACCCATCTTGTAACAATATTTTACGACAATGCAAGCGCAGACATTGTTTACCCGAAAATTCGGCTCTTGTTCCAAAGACATGATTCTTCAAACTGAGGACTACAATAGGTACATTCAAATACAAAAATAATACTTTCCATCGTTTCGCTTTACGCGATTTCTCTTTTCCTCTTTTCTCTTTCAGCCGTTTTTCTTGTCATAATTCTTATTTTCATTGTTTTCCTTTTCCTCTCTTTTTCTATCTTTCTTTTAATCCTTCTCATTTCCCTCTTAATAAAATTTTCCTCTGAGATTATTGCTTGAGTACTCGGACTGTGTCCACCCGACAAGAAATTTCGCACTTGTGTCTCCTCCTCTGGAAATTCTTCTGTCGTGACCTCTTTAATTCCCATACTCTTTAGCATTTTGGCAGTCCCACTACCAATTATTGCTCTACCAATCGTTGAACAAACAGACAGTAGCCCGCGATCTGGTGTGGCTGGAACATGATCAACTACTCTTGTGAACGTGTCTCCTTGATCAATTTTGTACTTTTTACAAACCCAATCAGGAGTTTTACACAAAACTTGAGCTTTCGCGCCTGGATGAGCCATTATTGCACAAATAAATTCAAAAGGGGAGACTGTGGAGAAAAAAAACATGACAATAAAAGCTGTAAACTTTCTATTTTTTTATTTATTCATTATCATAATATTCACCTTTTGGATCTTCATCAGTAGATTCAGTTTTAATATTATTTTTAACACCACTTCTATCGACGAGAAAACGTTGCAAATCAAAAAAGCAATATTTGGTAAGATCTGTTTAAAAATAAGATAGCGAGGAAAAATGGATAAGTTGTAAAGACATAATAATTCTCAATTGCGTCGCAGTTGAAGTGTCTGACAATCAAATTTCATTAGATTGAAAACTAAACTCAGGAATGTCAAAACAGGGTAATATTTTGACAAACTTGAACTCGATTAACCTTTTATCATGAATCAAGCTACAAATGAAACATAAATGAAAGAGAAACGCAAAGACCCAAGTTATTGGCTACATGCTGTATCAAAGTCGTCTGTTTACTTCTGTGATTGAAGTTGTGACGAAAGCATAAAGAACGATCTTTGATCAACTAATGTTCAAGGTAAAGGTATCAACAAAGGTAGAGCCTTACCAGAATCCATTTTTTTGACAATTTTTGAAAAATATAGTTAATTTAAAAAATAATAAGGAAAAAAACTAAATGAATAACGTGTAAATAAGACTCAAAACTTGAGCAACTGCAACTTTAATTAACGACCAGAGTAATTAACTGATTTCAAGTTAGATGACGCTCAAGTCGTTGACGCGCAGCATTTAATTATTATTTAATATTTCATTTACAAATGATTCAAAAGTTTCTTTATTTTTACTGTAACAACCAATTGAAATTGTGGTGATTCTTGCTTGTTATAAGATGAAAACTGCCAGGGTAATGATGAATGACAATGGTAAACAATTCGAGTTTGATCTGATTGTAGTCAACGTAAGAGATGAATCAAGTTTAACAATGTATCAACGTTAAAATACTTTTGTAATTTTAAATTTAATATCAAACCAATAACATGAAAGTGATACAAAACATTTTGCTCTTTATTTACAAATGAAAAGATAAGTGTAAAAGTGTAAAATGAAATTCGTCATGTTGGCATTTCTTTGAAAAATTTTAGCCATTCTTCAGCTATATCTTCGGGAATAGCAAATTTCCCCTCAGAATCAATCAACTTTGGTTCTTTACAGGTAATCTTTGCCCAGGGTTGCTTTTTAGGAGGCGGACAGGTGACTGGAATTGCATCTTCCTCGTATTTCTTGAGTAATCCATCTTGAATCAATCGGTTAATACAATCAATTTGGAGACATCGGCTTCTATCAATCTTGGTTCTTGTTCCTTCAAGCTGGTTAATCGGTTCGATTGATGACCACAATAAGTACATTGGAAGGCAAAACTAAGACATTCCATCTTTCTTCTTTCCATCTTTTCTCTTTCCATCATTTCGTTTTTCCTCTTTTCTCTTTCAATCGTTTTTCTTGTCATAATTCTTCTTCCCGTCCTGTTTCTTTCTTTCTCTTTTTCCATTTTTCTTAATATTTTCATCCTTGTTTTGCTCGCTTTTGAAAGTACTAATGGTGTACTCGGATTGGGCCCACCGAGCAAGAATCTTTGAACAAGAGGACCTTGCCCTTTAACAATTCCTCCGATTGTAACCTCTGGAAACCTCAAGTCCAGCGCCATTTTTACAGTCTCACTATCCTTCAATGCTCTACCAACCGTTTTGATAATGTACTCCGGCTCGCTATCAGCTGTGGCTGGAATATGACCAACTATTCTCGTGATTGTGTCCTCTTGATTAATTTTATACTTTTTACAAAGCCAATCAGGAGTTTTAGCTAAAACTAAATACTCTGCGTCTGGATGAGCTTTGATTGCAGCAAAAAATTCAGATTAGCCTGTTGAAAAAAAACGCAACATTACGAGCTGTAAACTCAGTATTTTTTGTTAACTTTATCATCTTAATATTTACCTTCTGGAACTTCTTCATCAGTAGGTTCAGTTTTAATATTGATCTTTCTTTCAGAATCTGTAAAAAAACAAATTACAAACGAAAAAAAACAATATTTGTAAAGATCTGTATAAGGTCAGATAACAGAGCAAAATGAATAAGTTTAAAAGACATGATGAAAATTTCAATCACAGTTGAACCGTTTGAAAATAAATTTCATTAGTTTCAAAATAGAACTGAAGATACTGTGAAAAACTTGAAATCGGTTAACTTTTCCAGCCGAGACAAACGAAACAAAAATCAAAGAGAAACGTAACGGCAGAAGTTATTGGCTACATGCTGTATTATTGAGAATCGTCGGATTACTTCTGTGATTGAAAGTTCAGTCGAAAAAGAAATAACGATATTTTATCAACTAATCTTCAAAGTAAAGGTATAAACAAGGGCAGAGACTTACCGGAATCCATTTTATTGGTCAATTTTGAAAAATACTAATATATAATAAGGAAATTAAACGATTAACGATAAATAAGACTCCGAACTTGAGCAACTGCAACTTTATTGACGACCAACGTAGTCAACTGACCTCAAGTTAGATGACGCTCCAATCGTTGACGGCGCAACATTTAATTATTTCATTCACAAAAAAATCAAAATTTTCTTAAATCATGATCAGAAAAGATAAGTAAAATCTATATCTATACATGCAATATATAAAGTCAAACTATGGAATTTTTTGCGGGAAGATTGAGGCCAAACTAAACGGGTTACAAAGAAAATTTTCACATAAGATGAAAGCCATGATTAAACTACAAACTCGAAAAATATATCGAACTTTCTCGGAATTCAGGTTACTGAGAAATTAGCGTTCAAACAGGGTAGAGGAAAAATGCTTTATAATGTCAAATTTTCCCAAATCAATTTTAGATCTTTACAGGTAACCTTTGCCCAGATTTTCTAGGACACGGGCAGGGGAGATGTATCGCATTGTATCTTCTCGTGAGAACGTCATCCTTGTATTTCTCGATTAATCCATCTTGAAACAAAAGTTTACGACAATGAATTCGCAGACATTGTTTACCCAAAAATTCGGATCTTGTTCCAAAGACATAATTCTTCAAATTGACGCGCACAATAGGTACATTTACACATCTGTAAATACAAAGATAGGACTTTCCATCGTTTCGCTTTACGCGATTCGTCTTTTCCTCTTTTCTCTTTCAGCCGTTTTTCTCGTCATAATTCTTCTTTTCATCGTTTTTCTTTCCATCTCTCTTTCTTTTTTTCTCATTTCTCTCTTCATAATTTTTTCATTTTCGATTATTGATTGAGTACTCGGATTGAACCCACCGGACAAGAAACTTCGCACTTGAGTCTCCTCCTCTGGAAATTCTTCTTTCGTGACCTCTGGAATTCCCATACTCTGCAGCATTTTGGCAGTCTCACTACCAATTATTGCTCTACCAATCGTTGAACAAACATACAGATCTCTGCGATCTGCTGTGGCTGGAACATGATCAACTATTCTTGTGAAAGTGTCTCCTTGATCGATTTTGTACTTTTTACAAACCCAATCGGGTGTTTTACCTAAAACTTGAGCTTCGAAGTCTGGAAGAGTTTTTATTGCGCAAATAAATTCAAAAGGTGAGACTGTGGAGAAAAAAACATGACACTAAAAGCTGTAAACTCACTATTTTTTTATTTATTCATCATCATAATATTCACCTTTTGGGTCTTCATCAGTAGGTTCAGTTTTAATATTATTTTTAACACCCTTTCTATCGACGAGAAAACGTTGCAAATCGAAAAAGCAATATTTGGTAAGATCTGTTTAAAAATAAGATAAGTTGTGAAGACATTGAAATAATTTTCAATTGCGTCGCAGTTGAAGTGTCTGGAAATTAATTTCATTAGATTGAGATTAGAACTGAGAAACGTCAAAACAGAGGATAATTTTTTAACAAACTTGAAATCGATTAACTTTTTTATCATAAATCAAGAGACAAACGAAACATAAACAAAAGAGAAACGTAAAGGCCCAAGTTATTGGCTACATGTTGTATTAAAGTCTTCTGTTTACTTCTGTGATTGAAGTTGAGACCAAAGAAGAAAGAACGATCTTTGACCAACTAATGTTCAAGATAAAAATATCAACAAGGTTAGACACTTACCGGAATCCATTTTGTGGTGAATTTTTGAAAAATACTGATAATTTAAAAAATAATAAGGAAAAAAATAAATGAATAACGAGTAAATAAGACTCCGAACTTGAGCAACTGCAACTTTATTGACGACCAACGTAATCAACTGACCTCAAGTTAGATGACGCTCCAATCGTTGACGGCGCAACATTTAATTATTTCATTCACAAAAAAATCAAAATTTTCTTGAATCATGATCAGAATAGATTGAAAAAATGTTTTTACTATAGTAAAACTATTTTATTCATAATTTCAAGCATCATTTTGTTTGATAGTTTTAAATAAAAGTAATCAACTTCATTTTTATTGAAATCATTCGAAGTTTTCGAGTTTTTGTCTTCATTATTTTGTTTTGAAAGCAAAGCCTTACTAGAATCCGATTCATCATATAAATGGATATAATATGGATCATTAAGTTTGTCTCAAGGTAAAGTCTTTGGCTTTTGAAAATTTGACATTAGATTGGGCAGAAAAGCCTGAGCACTTTTGTGGTTGACATCATAATTTTCAGGTTAACTTGAGGACTTATTTTTCAAATGTTTTTACCCAGTTTAGGTTATGCAAAATCAAGTGAAATAATCATGAATATCAATCATTTTTGCAGCTTTTTTTCCTCGACTTTTTTGCTGTAACTTGTAATCTTTGATATTATAATAGCAAACTGACCGAAACTGATTCAACAGTCAAACAATGATCATCATCAATCATCAGTAAACCCAAACTTGAAGTCAAATGTGTGATAAATAAAACGGTAAATAAAAATGGAAATATGATTAACCATGTAAAGGCTCTTTGACAAGTTCAGCCATATTGAACTCCATGATGAAAGTAAAGATAATATGGAAATAGAAATGAAAGTTAAAATCACAAAAAAATCATTTACATCTAAATGATCAAAAAGTAACTTCAATATCTATTGATATTGAATGTAAGGTTAAATAAGGACAATGAAATTAACTCTTTGATTTCACTAGAGTTGACACTTTTTTTATATAAAAAGACATTTCATTTTCATAACTTAGTTTTTGTTCAATATTTTTAATTTGTTCAGTTACAATTGACTGATTCCAGTTGAGCTTTTTTGGCAAAAAATATTTCAAAATTAAAAAAGCTCTTTTAATCATTTCGTTGTTTTATTATCATTTTGTTTTTAATTTTGATTCTTACAAGTCTTACAATTGAAATTAAACATTTCACCCATTAAAGCTCATTCCAAGCAAATTTATTCAACTTTTGTCTGAATTAAATTTCACTTCTGGATCAATTTAAGATATGAAAAAGGCAAACTTATTGCGATGTTGTTATTGAAATTCATATTTTACATTCAAATCATATAACATTTATATTTATCATGAATGTAATATGTATTCAACAAGTTTTCAGATGAGAAAACATTGAATAGAAGAAGTTAAAGTGTCATGTTTTTTTGATAACAAAAAATGATTTTCCTCTGAACTTTGAAGTTATCATAAATTCCTATGAGAATTTTCATTTTTGTATATTTTTTCTCATTTCATATTTACATTAACATAAGCAAATTGATGAGATCCAAGACTTTGGATTGAACCAATTGTTGGTTAACAATTGAATAAATTGCCAATCATTTATATCATTGTTAACATCAAGGTCCATTTTCATGTCTACATGATCATTAAATTGGTAATGGCTGTTGTTAACCATTAGACCGGTTCATTTTATTAATATTATGATTTATTTGGGTTTCTTTTGATTTCTGGTTTTATCTTTAAGCTGATTTAAGATTTGGTTAAAGTACAATAGATTAATTGTGGTCATTTCACAATTGAGATTAACCTTGATTTAAAAATTGACAAATTGGTTGGTGAGTAAATCTTTGAACCAGATTTCAATGTTAATGTGAGTGACACTTATTACGCTTTTTTTACCAGAATGGAAAGTTTGAACCAGAAAAGGCACCAAAATACCAGAAAGTCAACTCATGCGGTTTAACGTCTACAGTTGATTCAAAAGGTTAAACAATTGCTTTGACAATAAAAGCTTGATGTATTAATAGCTTGTAATTGTAAACCAGAAAAAGGTTTGCTCAAAAATCTGGTAACTTAAGCGATCTAATTTGAAATTGGTTTTCCCGTTTGATTAGGCCCAATTGAACTTATACAGTTTAACCATTTTAATTGAGACAAATTATGTGTCAATGTTTCATAATCTTGATTTGATTAATTGCTGAATTAACAGGCCTTAACAAGAATCTTAAATTGAAATCTGAAATTGAACCAATGAGTAAGTTGACACTCGGAGCATAAAAAAGGTAGAAACAAAAAACACAAGAAAAGAACCAACAATTGATCAATTTTTTGCAATCACAATTGAGTTAAATGAAATTTAATTTCTCAATCAGCTGGATTATTATTAGCATTATTATTACAATCAAAGTTGATCAAGAAAAACAGTGTTTTTAGATTCAATATTAAAAGCGCAAAACAATGAAAGTGTTGCTAAGTTGGTAACAAAGGTTAAGCTATGGCTGGTAAGAGGTTAAAACGTTGAGTCTGCGTCTAAACTGAATTGCTGGTTTGATTTACAATAAACAATTATTTTAATCATAATCACCATCATTATTATTTTACTCTTAATTTCACCTATTCTGTAGTTCGATTAATCTGTTTATACTTTGTAATCATTTGTTGCTCAAACTCAACTTATCTTGTGACTCCATTTTTTTGTCAGTTGTCAGTTTAAAATCAAATCTTGATTCAACGTTAATGTTACTCAGAGTTTACTGAAGAGTGTCTAATTATTAAGATTATTGGGATTATTTTTGTTTACTTTCTATCTGTCTGAATTCAGTTCTGTTGACTCAAGTTGACTCTTTTTTGGCAAATAAGTGATTCACTTGGTTTACCCAGTAAATAGTTACAATAATCATAATCTAATTAGACCAGTTATTGTTGATTTTATTTTGCTATTAATATTTGTGAAACAGAAACAAAAATTGCTGTTAACTTAATACCTTGATTAGTTTCATTTGGTACGGAAGTGTAAAATCTCAACATAATTCATTCAAAGCAGTCAATTTTCTCCATTATCATCATCATAGCCATCATTATCATCAGCGTTTCATTCAAGCGCTCGCATTTCACTCTCTCGACAATTTGTTGAGAAACAAAAAAGTTGTCGTTGTTTATGTTATTTATTTGATTTGTTTACTTCCTCACCTTTGCCTTCTCTAGTTTCATTTCTTTGATTTTGTTTCCATCGGATTCTCATTCGAATTCAAATGTTTAATATTTACAAAGTAAGTTTGTTTTCCATTATTTTAAAACAATTTGTAACTGTGTTAAAGTAAATGTTAGAGTAAAAGTTGATTTTTATTGGTGAAGTTATGCGGTGAAACTTGTGTCCGATGGATATCTTATTGAAATAATATTGTGTGAATGCAAAATGTTCATTGTCATTGTGGTTTCGTGCGTTGGAAATTAGATTCACAGATGATATAAACAAAAAGCTACTCTATTTTGACCGATACTCATTGTTACAGTTTGCGAAGGTACAGAAGGTTATGTACATCTAGAGGGTTATGTACAAGAAGAGACACTAAATATCGTTTCGCTTAATCTGCTAACCTATCTTAACATTTCAATAACGCGATGAGTTAAGTTATTTGTATTTAATGTAAATTCAGTTTGATAATTTTGAACATTTGATCGTTAACTTTTTTAAAAAAATACAAAATAGATACATGACATGAAATTTTTCGATGCATATATCAAAAAGGTTGCCATTTTCTGACTGCTGCAAATTAGTCTATGCCATTTGGACATCTTGAAACATCACAGAGCTTGGATGCTTGATTTTCGATTTCTTGTTATTCTCTCATTTCTCCGTCTTCTTCTTCTTCTTCTTCGACTCCTTTCACGTATAGTACATTGTTACATCGAATCAAAATTTCACCAATATTTCCAACAAAGTTACCACCAACAAATTCCTCTGCATTGGCCAACTATCAAAAGATATAGTTTTTAAACGATTAATTGGTAATGAAAAATCATAGAATTTTATTCTTAGATTATCTAATGAGTAAAATAATCAATAAATCAGTACATAACAGTTAGACTTACCTGTAAATTCATATAGTTGTCGGTACTAACAAGGTAACCTTTATATTCCATACCCCATTTCAGTTTGACAACAACTGCTTTACCAGTTAAACCATTAAGAAATGGTTTAGGATTCAAAGGCATTAATGAAGAAGCCATTTTAATATATAATTAGCGTTAATTGTGGACACAAAAATAGGTATTACTAGATTAAATATGATTTAAATTGAAATTAATACTGAAGTAGCATGCACTTTTTTACCAAAACCCGGTAATCAAAACAATGTAAACATTTCTCTAGTATCTATTAACTCCATCTAGGAGAGAAGAATAATATTAACGATCTCTTCCATAGGAAAATTAATTCTGAATTTAGAGCAAATTTCTGATGCAGATTATAATAATTTGTCAATTATCAATTATCATTTGCATGATTTCAGTGCTATGAATGAACTAGTTCATTTATAATTCATTATTTTACGCTGTCTATTATTTTAGCAGTTATAACCAATTACACTGATTAAAAATAAATTATTATGCGACATTTTGTTAACAAGCAATCAATTCGATTACTATCACCTACAAAATGTCGTCGAGTTTGTTATCCCATTCAATTACCGGGTTCAAATGAGGTAAATGTTATAATTGTAGAACCGTCCAATCGTTAAAGGCTGGTAAACTTAAATCAAAAGATGAAAATTGACTCCAATATAAATTATTATACACTAAATGCACAAAATGAAAAAGATAAGGAAGTTGTTTTACAATTATGTTTATTTCATTGTTTCACTTTAATTAAATCCTTGTTATCGAATTAGCTGTAGCTTTCATTATTTGATATCTTTTTTAATATTTAAAGCTTAAGTAGCAAATTAGTTTTAACCTAACTGTATCTAAATATTATTCACACAATAAAAAATGTATTGAGACGAAAGTAAGATTGAAAGTTGAAAATCACAAAAATATTGTCTTTCACGAATCTGATTCTATTCTGATCTTTCTGATTCTCTATTTTTATTGTCTTTTTTACAGATGAATCACATTTTCCTCTTAATTTTTCTCTCAATTTTGTCTGCAAACATTGCAGCCCCTACAAACAAACAGCCAAAAGCAGAACAAGCTTCATCAGCTAATAATCAAAATACAAATTCATTTACTCCTTTGGTAAATGGAAATGGAAACCATGGAAGTCAATCCAAAGAAGGAGTCCAGGACAAGTCACAAGGCAATGATGCGTTCAATAAAGGTCAAGTGTTTGAATTTTCCTATTCAACTAACCATCAAGAGCCACAGGATTCATTCAGAGCAAATGTAGGTGAAGATAAACAAGAAACAATCGTGGCAAATGGATCTGACAATTTCGCTGACCATGAACTTGCTCGACAAGCGCTACCTAAGTTTTTCAGCTACACAAATGGAGCCCTTAACGAAAATTCAAGTGATCCTGGATTGAGTATTAAACAGTTTGAGGAAGCTTTCAAATCATCAACAAGTGGAACGAGTGAAAATCCAACACTTGCCACTTTTCAACCGGCTCTTGGTGAAGTAGCTTCAGCATCTTATTTCAGTTATGCACCACCCTCAGTGCCTCCTTTCATGAGAATGGGCTTCAGTGAAAGTGAAATTGACGATGATATAGATGATGATTCTCTTGATAATGGTGATCTTGATTTCAAACCAAGCAGTCCCAAGAAGCTGGAGCGATCATCAGATTACAAGGACGATGGTGAATCTGAACAAGATCCAAAAGTTAAAATGGTTCAGGTTTTAATGGGAAGACGAAACGAGAAAGGTAAACCATGGGGAACCAAAACTACTTTAGTATATCGGGATCCAAAAGATGCAAACAATTACATGCAGGTTACCGAAGTTAAAATGAGTGTAAAGAGTAAAAAGGATAGACCTGAAGCGGCTGGTGATGAAGTTTCCAAAGTCAGTAAAAGTAGTTTCCATGGATCAAGATATTCAAATCAACCTTCACTAAGTTATGGTGGAGATTTTTTAGAGCTCAATGAACCACCAGAACCATCTTTCTAAGTTGAATATTCTTGAAAAGAAAATAAATTGACAAAAAAATGAAAATATTATGTAACTCGATATGTAAAGTGTGTTGTTTTTGGCATTGTATTGTCCCTATATTTTGTTAATATTTCGCCAGAGTCATTTTAAAGACAATTTCTGGAAAACATAATGTAAAATGTGTTGAGCATTAAAAACACTATTTTCTTTAAAAAACATCATTTCTTTCAATATCAATCAAAACCGGAGCGAATAAGACAAGTTAAGTAATGATAATTTGAAATTTTAATGAAGATATTTTAGAAAGTTAAGATTCTTCCATTGGCATTCTGTCGGTGGAATTTTCATCTGCCTCATCAGTTTCAATATTTTCAGAATCGTTGGAGCCGTTGCCGTTGCCATTGCTATCATTTGTATTCGATGAAATGTTATCAGAGTTAGCATCTGAGGTTGTAGGTTCGGGTGTCTTATTGTTCTCGTGGTTATTTGTCGGTGCGTTGTTAGAGTCTGGTTCGACACGAGATGATCTAGCCATATTGTTTTTGGCTAACGAGCTGTTGCCATTATAATTTTCCTTTGGTCCTGAAGGTTTAGAGGGCTGATTATTAGACATGTCTTTCGATTTATTGGGTCCCATTACTGAAGCCATTATAGATTGATTACCAGGTTCAACTTTAAAAGCTACTTGGAGGAAAAATTGTTTTGAATCTTTATTCCAAAGAGTCCAAAACTTATCTTCACTTTTGTCCACTTCTCGACTCGGAACTTTAAAGCCTATAGTTTCATATGGTTCAGCAGCAAATAAAACATATTGCCAACGTCTATCAGGAGGCTCAATTTTTTGCTCATAAGCGGACATAAATCGATGACGGGGAACAATCCCATCAGTAATCTCAGGATAATCAACCTAAAAATAAAAGAGTAAAATATTGAATTAGACACATCCACTCGAAATGAATCAAATGAAAACAAAATGAATGAGTTTACCTGAAATAAGAGAGATTGTTGTCCAGTTTCTTGATCTAACTGTTTAGTAACTCTGTAACCAGGTCTTCCAATTTTTACAAATTTTCTAATGTCGGTTCTTGGTTTGGCAGGCGCTGGTAAAGCTGGTGAATCTTTCGAATCTTTAGCCTGTCTTCGAGCTAAATTTGTTTGATGTTTTTTACCCTGAGTATGGGCCAAGTAAGAACCTTCATTATTGTGAAGAGTTAGACACAATTTACATTCATAAGAACCAAGATGATTTTTCATAAAATATGGATCTTTTTGTAAGTCGATTGATTCTAAGGCTAACTGCCTTAATCTTTCTCTCCTCTCTCTATTTGTTTCAGACCAACTGGCAACACCACCACTGCCAGTTTTCCCTCCAGGTCTGTGTTGGAAATCCATGGTGTAACTAGATAATAAGAGTAAGCTTATAAACAAGGTAAAAAATCTAATGCAAAGATAAATTACAATAACCACCGATTGAAATTAATAAAGACAAAATGTAAACAATTTTTGTTCTGGACTCCAATTTTCCGCATAAAACACACCGGCACCTATTAGTAAAAAAAGATACTATAATAAATGAATTTATCGCCAGCGTAAGGCGCGAAATACTAAATCCAGAAAAGTTATTTTTCTTGAACATTTTGATGACATTTCAATTTCAACAAGAAAATATTTTTTAGCTCTATCAATTTGATCGATTCACAGCGATCTTGCTAATATTATTAGATTCCCTATAAGTACAAGAAAAAAACTTGAATACTTTATTTTGATAGGAAATATATTTTAGAACAATTTTATTTTATTTTTTGGCATTTCCAAGACTTTTTAAGCAAAAATAAAATAAATTGTGTCATTTTATAGCTTCATAAATTAATCGTGAAAGCTATCGTTGACAGCAATAGATGCGGTTTACAAAATGAAATGAAATGACAAATAACGAGGAAACAAAATTGTATACGAATATGTGAATAGCATCGGGAGTTTGATCCTTGATTTTCGTGTCCTTGTTATTCTCTCATTTCTCCGTCCTCTTCTTCTTCTTCTTCGACCCCTTTTACGTATAGTACATTGTTGCATCGAATCAAAATTTCACCAATGTTTCCAACAAAGTTACCACCAACAAATTCCTCTGCATTGGCCAACTATCAAAAGACACAATATACAAAATAAAATGAAATTAGTAGCTTATAGATACTTGCGCCTGAAAATATAATCGAGAATTTTATTTATTTAGATTATCTATTAAGTAACAAACAATAATTTAATAAGACTTACCTGTAAATTCATATAGTTGTCGGTACTAACAAGGTAACCTTTATATTCCATACCCCATTTCAGTTTGACAACAACTGCCTTACCAGTTAAACCATTAAGAAATGGTTTAGGATTCAAAGGCATTAATGAAGAAGCCATTTTAATATATAATTAGCGTTGATTGTAGACACAAAAATAGGTATTACTAGATTAAATATGATTTGAATTGAATTTAATACTGAAGTAGCATGCACTTTTTACGAAAACCCGGTAATCAAAACAATGTAAACATTTCTCTAGTATCTATTAACTCCATCTGTGAGAGCAGAAAAGCAGTTTTCGATTGTAAATTAGTTCATTCGTTTCATCTTACTTTCTTTTTCTTATTATATTTGTCTCTCCATTATATTTGCTTAAAGTTATTCAGTAGATCTTTACCTGCTATTTAAGATACTTTCAAATAGGAATCTTGTTAATCTTAGGACTATTTATTGTAAGCTCTTTAAGCGCTCAATGATTGTTATCACGAATATTGGCTTAATTTTTTATTTACACTTTCCACACTGATTCTTGTAAACACTTTATACTTTTTTAATGGTCAGTTCCAGTAAAGTGAATGACTTTTCAATGTAACATTTTTGCTTAAATATGCACCGAATATTAGCTGGATATTCATTAAGATGTAAGGAGAGTAAAAGTATTAGTATACAAGTGTCAATTTATTACTTTTTGTTCAATAAATTGTATAAATACATAAACTACACGGTTTTTACAAATTTTGCTAAACTGATAAGACAACAGTTACCCGTTGTAATCTTGCAGAATATCACCCATATGCTCGTTGTGTTTCTTGAATGTCCTAGGTTTCTTCGAAGTGGGCTTTTTCCTCCTTTGAATTGGGTTGACAGGTTTACCACCAATATCTTTCATTGAGGTAATACCATGTTTCTCTAAATACTCTTCAATTTTTGCATCATCTAAACCATCGACAGCAACACTTCTCCAAAGTTTTTGAAAGTCTTCGTCAACTTTAAAATGAATGGAACGATCATTGTAATATAAAATTTTCTTTTTATCCGTAGGTCTAGTAAGTATTATTATGGCTTCTCCAAGAGCTTTTATACACCTATCAGCATTAGGAAGTGACTCTTGTATATCCTCCAATGCGATACCTCCCATTCCTCTTTGGTCATATTTATCCAACAATCGTAGTAAAGACTTTTTATCTTTCAAAGGGAAAATTGGCTTATAAAAATATTTCTCTCCGTCCTCTGTAATATCCACCTTAGGATTGTTCCTAAGCGCTTCAGTGGCTAGCCATTGTCGCTGTCTTGGTGCCAAATCCAATTGGTTAGTTTCGTCCAACATTTCCTCAAGAGTAAGCGGTTCATTATCACCATCAAGATATCTTTGCTTCATGTACTTGACAATTTTAGCAAGGCAAGCAAAATTAGCATTTGATGTCGGTTTAAATTTTTTAAAGTCGAAGGATTTCTCTATTACAGGAGCAGGAGCACTTTTACGACTCTTCTTATTTGATTCTTTTCCTCCATCATGCACAGAACTAGCTGGCCTTTTTACTTCAATAGCAGGTGTGGATATAGCTTTCTTCTTGAAAGCTTCCCTGGCTTTCAATAAGGCAGGATCCATGATGAATTGTATTGACTCAAACTTAATTTAAACTAAGAAGCAAAGCACTATAGAATGACAAGATAATGAAATAAACAATTTAAAATTTACTTGATTACAATAAATTCAATTTATGAATGAGCATTTTGTGATGATGACAACCGACTGGGAAACCTCAGATTAGTCAGAGTGGCTACAAATCGGTTTACTCTTTAAACCGATAAAAAAGATATGCGCCATCTTGTGATGAAAATTTGCTGCGCATGCCAATTCACTAAAGAGTTTAAATGAAACGCAAATAATACAATTATTTAATTATACTGACCTCTCTTAATTGATTAAAATGTTTAAATCATTGATTTTAAGTGCCTCTACCTATCCTGTGAGAATTTTATCTCTAGGATCACCACAGTTGGCGTCAAATCGCTGGTTCTCCAGTGGTAATAACAATGACAAGGACAATTATGTTGAATCTTGTGAATCTACTGAACCTCCAATACCAATGTATCAACGTTTCAATGAAAGTATCGAAGTGAAACGAGCTCGTTTACTTTACCAGAGTCGCAAAAGAGGTATGCTTGAGAACGATTTAATTCTTAGTACTTTCGCCCATCGCTATTTGAATACATTTGATGCCCAGCAGTTGGATGTTTATGACAGTCTCATCAACGGACCTTCAAATGACTGGGATCTCTTTTATTGGGTGGTCGGAAAAAAGGAAACCCCACCAGCTTTTGAGAACCCGATCATGGATTTGCTCAAGGAACACGCTAAAAACCATGCAAGAGAGAATAGAACTCGACAACCACCTCTCTATTAAAAGCTCTATGATGTATCTCAATGAGTCTCTTTAACATCAACAACGCTTCAAGAGCTTGTAATTGTAAATTTTGTTGTGAAGTTTCAAAATATTCTGTAAACAATGTAACAAAAAAATAATAATCCCGATTCATTGCTTAGAATTCTTCTGTTTAAGTAACACTAAAAAATGTAATATTTATCCTGTTTATAGTTATCAAGGAAAACTAATTTCAGAAACAATGAATTAAATTAAGATTATTTAGTATTTACTTGTATCACAAATAATGAATTTGTGTGTCAAATCATTGAATAAAACTGTAATAACACGTCAGAATATTATGTATTATTTAGATGAGACAAAATAATTACAAAATTCAACAAAATAACTTTTAAGTTTATAATTGGTAAATGAGTATGATAAATGGGTTGAATGAAGAAAACAATTAATTAATTGAGAAAAATGGTGATGATGATGAGGTGACGATAGAAATATATGAAGAAATGTACACAATTTACATGTTAAAGAGCGAGTTCAAAGGATAATTTGAAAATTGTTTCAACATTAATCTCAGTTCAACTGAAATCAGAATCAGATCTCATTGTGTAGACACTTCAAAGCGTACAAATAATTGATATTTTTTCATAGCAGACTTCCTATGAATCAAAAAAAGATTATATTAAAGACATTAAATTGCATAACTTTTGCTATGCAAATGAAAAATGTTCCCAGAATAAAGTACAGGAGCTGCAATATTTTCTATAATAGATAGATTTGTTTTCTGTACAAAACAATTGACATCAACTATTTAAATTAAATTTGACTGTCCGGGTGTTGGCATATAATTTAAATTATTAAATTATTTGTATTAAAAGCGGCGTTGATTAAAAGATCTTCTCCTTTCGAGAAATCTTTCGTTTCCTTTGTAGTTATCCTCCATTGTCGGTCTCCTTAAAAAGTGGTGATTATTAGAATTAGTTACCCTGTAAAAAACAATTAAATGAATGATTAGAAATTTAGTTATAATGAAATGTAATTAAAAGTAATGACTTACCTTTGATCGTTTTGATAATTTTTCAAAGGGCTTATCGCATAATTTGTTTCATCGAGACAAATTCTATCATCATCTGTTGAAATTATAAGCGACTTTAGTTATTTCCAAAAAGAATGACTTTGATTATTTCAACAATAATTTACATACCTTTGTGATTATCACGATTTTTCTTTTTGGGTATTCTATATCCAATAAGAGCCGAAGCTCTAGTTATAACAGAATTATTTACAATTTTATCTTCTTTGATGGATTCCGGGCTTGGTTTTGAATTCAAGCTTATTTGATTATTCTTATCACTTTTGGTTATACTTTTCTCTCTTAGAGTGTTTCCAATCGATTCTGATTTGGGGGAAGTCTGGTTCGCTGGTACACTCTTATTACGAAGTGGCAAGGAAGCTGAGATTGGTGACCCGTTGACATTTGTTTGTCCAACATGATTTTTAGTGTGAGATCCATTGAAAAAACCTTTACCATTTTTAGCTTTTTGATGGAGCTGTTGTTGAGGAGACTGTGGCGTTTTACCATTATCACTGCTCTCACTTCGTCTTTGAGGATAAAATTTCAAATATGGATTTGGCCTATGTCTTCTTAGCTTTTCAATACTATCGTTTCTCATCATATTTTTTAACTGTTTAATCAACACTTTAGGTTTATTCTTGTCTCTAGTATCCCAGTCATCGTATATTACACTTGTGTTAATAATTTCCTTAGCGAGTTTCAATCTCTCTTCAGGTGTTGAGTTTGTCTTGAAACTAGGTGAAGTGCTTGTTGCCCCAGATTGCTCATCTGAGTTTGGAAGAGGAGAACCTGTAGCAAAAGCAATAGCTTGTTCGATTGCTGATTGATGAGTTTTGACCCAGTTACATTTTATCTTCTCGCGGCGACACAACATATAACTTAAATTACGAATACGTTCCAGGTCTACTCGGAATCTCAGAATACCAGCATGCTGTTGAAGCTTCAACCTCTCCAGAGAAGTTGCATTTATCATTCTAATGAGAGGTGATCCATAATTAGAGACTCTTTTCATCTTCCAATATTGCAAAACAAGATCAATATATAGGCCCAAAACATCTTTAGAAGCTTGTGGAAATTCAGACATTAGCATAGGCAAAAACTGTAATTTAACACAAATTTAAAGAAATACAAAATAAGATTATTAAGATGCAAGAGGACGTTTTCAATGGTTTTTAACTAACCTCGTGATTGATTTGTGTGATGTCAATATATTTCCAAAATTCGTTGCATGGGTCATCACTCTCACTCTCATTCAGAATAATATCTGATTCTGATTTTTCGTCTTTTAGAGCTTCACTTGAGCTACAAGGAAAAAGAAGAGTAAGATCAGTAAACTAGATAAGCTACTAGATGATAAATACTAACCTGTCAGCATTTTCATTATCTTTAGATCCATTTTTGTTAGAATGTTTGGAGCAGTAGGATCTCAATTTAACACCTTTTCTATCATCAACAGCCATTACATTCATTTTAAGTTTGGCATTGAATGCACATGTTACGTGGTAAGCTATTTTACATGAGTTGATCTACAAATAAACAGTAAAAATAAGAAGTAGAAAATTAATGACATTGCATAATATTAAACGAAAAACTTGAGTTGTGTAAATTACTAACCGAACATTGGATAGGAGCACCCTTCTTTATTTTACATATAGAACACACAAGATTTAATCTTGTTTGAGATATTTGTTTAATTTTAGTGATTGGTTCCATCGATTTTACACATCCAATATTTACCTAATTAAACAAAGACAAAGGTGGTAAGAAATTAAGTGATGGGGATACTCTTGGCGAAATATTTATTAACTTCATAATCACTTACCTCTGGTATCCAAAGAGCACAAGCAACATGGGCCCATTCACCGGGTTGCGAGGTGGGTTTCAACGCACCCCCAGTATTGGGACACAACACACAAGGTAAATCTTTTTTATAACCTAATTCTTTGCAAGGTCGACATAACCATTCACCGTCGGGAATATGAGTGATACCATAGCAAGCTTGGTGGACACAGATATTACATGAGTCACAAAAAACCATTTCATTTCCATCTTCAGCGTCGGGACTAAATAAATGAATAAAATCGAACGAGAGATTAACACCAAAGTAAAAAAAGATAGATAACATATAACATTGGATTGATAGGCATGGAAAATAGATAAAGCATGTTATTACCTTCTACAAACATCACATAAAACGTGATCGTCATATTCAATCCCAACTTGTTTGGCCTTCATATTGCGAGCACATTGGTGTTCAAGTTCATTAATGAGATCTTCGACAAATTTCTCTGGTAGCCTGATTGATTCATCAGATTCTTGGAGCGTTTGTAACCAAGCTAAGTCTAATAGGTCTAGTTCATATTGACCATAAACCTCTAGATCCGTTTCGGTAGACTAAAAAGGATAACGGAAAAGACAAATAATTAGTTAAAAGTATGAAACCGGTGAATAAGTGCCAAGTTTTGCACAATAACATTGAAATGGGTCATCAATTTAGGTGATTGAGAGATGCATAGAAAGAGATAAGGAATTTAGAGGTGAAATAATGAGATATGGTAGATAGATAGGAGTTCAACAGATGTTATAAAAATCTATAAATACCTCATTTATTTTTTTGACGGGTTTAACTTTATTTGTGTCTTGAGGAGATGAGTCATCTTCAGTTTTGAGACATCTATAACTAGGTTCTGGAAGGGATTCAGGGTTCACAGGTACTTGCACTCCTTTTTCCCATTCCTCTTTCCAAGAGTCAGTTATTAGGATATAATCTTCACGTGAAAGTTGTTCCCCATCAGCCATTTTCATAGCTGATATGAGATCCTTGCGGAACAACTCGGCTGGTTTTTTAACGTAACCATAATTATAGATACGATTTTTATTAAGAGATGAGACATCTCCCATTATTGCAGATATATCTAGAAAAAAATTGGAATAAAAACAAAACAATAATAAGAACAATATTAACGGAAATGAAGCAAGAAAACAAAAGAACGTGGATAAAGAAAGGTTTCCCTCCAAATGGCCTGGGTAGCGGTACCTTTTTTGAACTTCTTTTTGCCATCCTCCTTCTCCTCATTTGGGAAAAGCAAACCCATTTTACTAGCTCGTTTACCTATGGATAACACAAAACAAGAAACATAGGAGAGTGAGTTAAAGTAAAACCAAATGACAACAGAGGCTGATATACAAATGTATAATTAGTATTCAAGGTAAACTAAGGTATAATGGTTTCATGCACAGTTATTTAAGAGATCAGCTCATTACAATCAAGGTGGCAACATAGCTGATCACATCTTAGCCTAATAAATATCAAGAAAATATAGCAAAACTAACTATGCCCAATGTAGAAGGCCTGATGTTAATGATTGGCCAAGCATATTGAGAAATTGCTATTGGTACTAATTAATGATTATTAAAAGAACCAGAGATCAGTAAGAATCAGTCGGTGATGAGACTTTATCAAAGAATCTTGAGAAATTAGAAAACAGAGAGAAAGACAAAGATCATAAACAGAAACAACGGATAGAAACACAAAAAGAGAAAGAGAAAGAGAGAAAAACTGCCAACCAAGAGTAAGAGAAATAGAAAGAGAGACAGAAAAAAAAACAGAAATAAAAGTGAACACATAAATAGATTAAGAATGAAAGGAGACTTACCTAATGAATTACCATCATTTCTGTTAGCACTAATCATCCTAAATGGATGATATTAAAGGTCAAATGTTAAGCCAGTTACTACCGGAGAAACACAATCAGAAATTAGAGTACAATTTCAATTAAATCCAACATTATTCTTTCACTTTTTCTAGTCTTTCTTTCTCTCTTACTCTACCTTCATTCACTTTGTTGGTTGTTTCTTACTATGGCTCAGGGGTCGTCTTCAAATAACATCATGCTACATTCAAGATTTTGTTTATTTTACTATTGGCGGGTAACATTGAAAATTCCAACTCAGCAAAAGGATTCTTACAGTAGAACCTTTCAAAGACAATAGTCACAGTTTAACACGTGAAAAGTTGACCTCATAAGAATGTCCACCGAAACTTGGAATCACTTGTCAAAGTAATTACATAATGACCTATATACACCATCAGCCGGCCTCGTGGCCCAACGGATAAGGCGTCTGACTTCGGATCAGAAGATTGCAGGTTCGAATCCTGCCGAGGTCGAAATTTTGCTTCCAGCGACTAAAATTCGATGAATTATCCTCTCTCCTGGTAATGCTAGGTCACATAGCGCTTCAATAAGCTATCAGAAAATTTTTGAGTGTCATTGGAGTCCGATTCAGTGGCAACTTACTAACCTGACTGTTGCTACATGTTGTTGACATGATGTTACTGTATATGATACTATTCTGGCTCCATCTGATAATCATTTGTTTAGGTCAGTGGAATATTTCATGTGATGTAAGTACGACAGCTGAGGCGAAGTTGGAATTGAATACAAATTTATTGTAGCTTCAAAGCAATAAAATTTTTATGAAAAGCATTTTATGGGTTATTTTTCGTCGTTGGCTAATATTTAAAATGATTGAAACTGATGGCGATTATTTTATTGATTTGATTTTAAATTTAAAAATCAGTTATATTTTCCAATGAACTTACATGTATTGTCAGAATCTGTAGATCTTTTTTGTCTGTTTAGCTTAACCTATTGATGATTAATATCTATCGTTTCATCTTGAAAAAACATTACTTCATCCATGTTTGGGTTTAAGAAGGTAAAAAAAATTATTGAATCTCTTCCAATTTTTAGTCTAAAGGTAATCTTTTTCCCGGAATATCAATCATTGTTATAACAATCTAATTAATTATACACTGGAACTTTTAAGTGAAAAGCTGAGGTAATCTTAGGCCAATTTTGTAATTAAATTTACATTTTTTGTTCAATAGCAATTGAAAGGTTAATTAAACAGTGTTAACAAGGAAACAACAGCAATGTTTACATTAAATGATTTAGCAGAATTGACGAATGTCCCCAATAAAGTGTTCACTAGAAAGCAATTAACACAAGGTTCCTTACCTAAATTGCAGTAGTAATATAATCACCAATCATAAATGTGGAAGGTAATTTTTAATTAATCGTTGCAACTTGGACCCTTTCATTTAGCCAAAGGGAATCAAATTATAAAACCAGAAAAAAAATAAAATTATGCTAACTGAATTTCTTGAAGAAAATAAATTCTAATAAACTTCCACCAATAAATATTAATAGCAATAATTAAATTGCGACCACAAATTAATTGCGTTCAAGTCGAACATAAAACGGGAAAAAGAGAAAAGTCGATTCACTTTCTTTCCAAATGAATTGAATGGGTAACACTAGAAGGAAGCACTGAGGTAGCGCCAGAAAGCAACATTACACAATAAAACTGAAAGTTGAAAACTTTAAAGCTGGTTGTACTTGAAAACTGTTGAGTTGATTGATAGTAATTCTGGTCAATTTTGGGTTTCTAACATTTTACAGGGTTCCATCATAATGATCATTGCTATATTTAAAGTTAATAACCAAAATGGCTCATTCATAAATTCATAAATTGGTTGTTATGCTCTAACTCAATATTTTTGTCTTGCATTTGTTGATACGGTCAGCTGGATGCATCATAATATGAGTACAGTTAAAATCCGATGTAGATGATGGCAGAAATAATCCAACATATTGTATGTTTTGGAAGCAGAAGCTTTGTTTTTATCATATTTTGTAAGTTTTAATGTTGATTTCAAACCCTCAGTCGAAATTTAAGACGTGGGTTCAACTTGAGTTCAAATGTTTTAAGAGCTTCTCGTAAGTTACTGATCTGACTAATCAAGGTGGAGTTGGATTGATACCATGAAAAGGAGCCATTAGAATAATCAGTAAGGCCATTAAGAGTGTCATAGTCTTTGATAATTTTCGGGTGAAGTTAATGCATTTGCGAATAATATGATCTTGGAAAGCTATCCATTCGTTAATCTACGTCTTTAATATTTGATCATATACGGGGTGAACTCGTAAACTCGTTAAAATGTTAATTTTTTTCATAACCAGCGCGTTTTAAAGTTATTCAAATGTTTTTTCTAACACCCTGTAGATGATCGTATTTCGTTTGCAAAAAATCGATGTTATTGTCATTGGATTGACATTTTTTCAGCTTGTCAGAAGGTAATTGGAAGCATTTCTTTGTCAATGTTAAACCTGGTAAAAATTGGTAACCCAAAAAATGGGGAATTACGAATGAAAATTAAGCAATAGAAATTTCTTTAAAGAAGTAATCGACTTACAAGGGAAGTACATGAAACGCCAGTTTTGAAGTAGAGAGATGTCATTCGATAGATTAGTAATTGAGAGGCAATTTAAAATAAGTTGGCTCAGCTACCAAATTTTTCAATGTAAGCTATTCAACTTGTGACGGACTGATTGAAATGACTTAGCTTCTAGCATTCATTTTTTATCCTAACGATGGTGATTATGAAATTGGTACAAGATAATAAATAATTGAAGCTATTTGACAAAGATTAGCAGGTCGGTGTTAATGGAGAACCATATGCTTAACCGGAAAAAGATGAAATCAGGACAACCAGGAAAGGTTAATTTTGCCTTTTCTTCCTTACCAACACAAACAGTAAATAATTTAATTGTTTAAAGTGACTCTTGGGCAAATGATTAGACTGGTTAACCTTGAGAATGTTCACCATTTTAAACATGATAAACCATTTGACTCCAACTTTTGAGTAATCATCATCATCTTCTTCTCATATTCTCAGTCTTTTCATCCTTTCTTGAACCAAAAAGTGAAAGTGAAAGCGAAAGTGGTAAAATTTCAATCTTAATTTGCTCCAGGCTCATGTAGTCATCATCAACAGGCTAAAAACATCAGTCATTTACTATCGTCATCAGCAAAAATATATATGGTCCAAGGTTGAAAGCAAATTTCCGTCAACAATTTGGAGTTACTCAAATTTGCACCAGTTTAATGCCATTAATAAAATTCTTATGAAATAGTGATTGCTTTCAAAATCTAAATTAACAAATAAAAAGAAAGTTGATAAATAAAAAATGAATATAAATCAAATGGCCACAAATATAATTCCGGTTAACAATATCAAGATTAATAAACTCCAAAATAACCTTATCCTTGGTGAGGTTTTTGGATCCTTTTAATTTTCCTTAATTGCTCTAATCAAAGTTAACCTTCTCCATCTATTATAGGATTTTCAATTTGATATCATTGAAAATATTAAACATGAGAAGCCAAAATTGAATCGCTCCAAAAAAAGATATTAATTTTTCACAACCGTTAACTGGATCTTTCAATTTCAAATAACAACCACCGAAACAAATGGTTCAATCAAGTATGAAAACCATCAATTGTCGTATTGTGTACCCTATAGAAACAAATAAAGACCCAATTAATAGACTTACAGCAATCAAAAAAATAAATATAAAAAAAACATTAACAGGAGCCAGGTAATTCTGTCTTAATACGACGATGATGACGGTAATGGTGATGGTGGTGATGATGATGATAAATATGATGATGAACTAAACAATGATGATCAAAGTGAAACAATTAACTAATGAGAGTGACAAGTTCATCGTTACATGTAAAATATGATAAATATAAAAGTACCAAACTATTGATTTTGGCGAGAGTAACAAAACAAAAGGTTTAGCTACAAGAACACAGAAGAAGGTAAGAAAAGGTTACTATTTTTTAATCACAAAAAGAAACGAAATCATCACAATTAGAAGGTCATAATCAACAGGTAATCGACAACTGAGAATTTAAATTAATATCAATTGAATGGTTTTAACAATAGAATAAGAAAGAAACTGGTTAAATAATAGTTGCTGTTATAATAAAAACAAAATAATGCAAAGATAGAAATGTAAAAATTGAAAATGTTACTAATGGTGTTAACATAAATGGAGACCTTGCATTTTAAGTCCCGGGTTTTTTCATTCCTCTCCATTGTTTCCCCCCTTTTGAGAACCCAAATCTGGTAACCTGTCAATGTTTAGATTAGGATCGGTTAAGTGAAAACGGTTAAATTGTTTTGTTTGGTTAACAAGTGTGAATCATTTTGGCCATTTCTACTCTTGAATCATGGATTAAATTGAATTTCTTTTTAGTTTATTGGTGTTACTTTTGATACAATTTACATTTAACTGATTCTTCTTCATAAATTCATCAAATTCATCAAAATCAAATCAAGGTTAACTGTTATAACTCATTGTTTCTTCTCAATTTACAATTTTCTATTTTTTGTTTGACTTCCAATTTGCCTTTTTTTTATGTGTCTATCTTTGAAAACAAAACGGAACAACAAAAAGGTAACTAACTTGAAATATCAGATGTATGATTATATTATTAACCTGTTAATGAAACTCTTACTTTATATTGTTCTCTCACAGTTACAATTTACATTACATTCAACGGAACTTTGGTTGATTAAAATTGAAGATTGGAAACCTTGACTGTTTAAATTTTTTGCGCTTCTAATGGAACCAAGAATGATGATAACCTTTCATGGTATCAGTATCAGCTTTTGATCATCATCACACTCTCCCAGGTTGGTTTTGAATTCTGTTTTTTTTATTTATTGTGTTAAGGTAATCATCATAGCTATGATAATAGTTACCCTCAAAAAAAACGAATAGACTTTAAACAATGCAAATTCAAATGAATCAGCTGAACCAATGTGTTGATTGACATTTGACTTTTTTTAATGGTATTAAAATCTTAACAAGCTTGATTAATTAGCTAATTGAAACATGATTCTGTTGCAATACAAAAGCAAATTTCGATATCAATTACATAATTAACTGTTCTTTAAAATCTTTTCTTGTTTAAACCATATTTCTAGGTATTGTTACACACTGACATTCAGTCAACAAGCAACAAGTTGATATAATTTTGCAAGATGAAAGGATCACCAAAAGCAGAGTCTCATTCAACTGGTTGAATAAATTGTGAACAGAGGAACCCTTTGATTGGATTCATTTTTACGTAACAAGCAAGATGAACCAGGATCAAGTAAACAAATATCAAGTCAACCCAAAATGGTTACAAATCAATAACACACATGAAACATTGTCAATACATTGTCAATGTAGTCATTATGATTGATATTTGACAGGAAAAAATTGTTCTGATTATCTTCAAGTTTTACTAAATAACAATCATGGTAAGAAGAAGGAGAAGAAGTGAAAGATATTAGAGGTTTTCAATGATGATTGTCAAACAAAAAAGAGTGGATTAGAAGAAAAATGAACAAAAATTATTGCAGCAAAAGATGATAACCTTAATTGAGAGGAACCTTGAGAGAGACAGAAAGAGGAAGAGAAAGAAATAATAATGAAAGGATGATAAAGAACGGGGATGAAAGGGGAAAGAAACAAAAAAAATGGTGAACCGGGAAGCTGAAATAGAGAGTCAATTTGACCTAAAAAATGGCTGATATTTAATAGACACAGAGACTAATATTGTTTCAATTGGAAAGGAGAAAGTGAGGCCATTCATGTCATCATCATCACCATCATCATGAGGCCCTTTTTCAAAGACTATACTTTTTCATTGGGATCAAAATTTATTATCATAAATGGGTGAGAATCATGATGAGATGAGGTTTTTGTTCATCTTTTTGGTAAATTATTTTCCAAGAGGTTTCATTGGATTGGCTGGTTAACTCTCAGACATCCATTCATTGAGTAAAACCAGAAAAAAAACCAGCAACGTAAATTAAATGGTTGTTTCATAATCATTATTAGACTAACTAACCATCAATGATGATTTTGAGTTGGCAATTTAATAGGGCCAAAATGCTATTCAATGTAAATGCTTGTTGCTTTTAAAGTTCAACTATTGAACCAATGTCTAAAAAAGTATTCACTTCATTAATAGTTTAAAGTTTAATTTTGATTGAAAATCAATATTTGATGAAAGCAGGGTTGGAACCAAGTGTAAATCTTGGGCTTTTAGCTGGTAAATTGTGTGGATTGTAAGATGAGTTTTGGTGGTGATGATGGTAGTGGTGGTGATTAAAAGAGGGAAATTAGAACGGCAACAATTAGTGCAAATAAACAAAAGAGTGTCATATTTAGCTCAATGTGATTAAATAATCTTAAGCTTTAATTCTGTTTCAAGATTGAATTACCAATTGTGTGTTTCAACCAGTTCACTCAACATTAAGGGTGGCCTTTGCACAAAACTAAGGTAAGATTGTAATGTGTGTTATCAGTCCAATTGCTCATTTTTGTCGTAATTAAACGATTATAATGAGCTGGCTTAGATTATCTTGGCACGTCAATGATGATCTAACATGCAGATTAACTAGAAACTAGAGAGAAAAGATTGACCTAGGAAAGGTTTCAGGTCAAAATCTCAAGTTCAAGGTTTAAGTTGACCAATTTTACATTTTCCAGTCAGATACCTGTGTATATCAATACTGATCATTTTGTAATCTAATGGTTTCCAACCAAAGATCAATATGATTTTACTGACTGATCAACTCGTTCTTTGCTAACTGATTCAAAAAGATTCATAATTTGTCAATCAACTGCTCAAGAAACTATCGAAAGTTGATTTATTAGATTATGACTTTGAGCCACATTTAAAATATTAGAGAAAAGTAAATCAGTAACAGAACACGATTTTACATGGGAATAGGTAAAATTGCATTATTGATTCTCAAATATCAACTTTGTTCTTTACTTGCATTTCTTTTTTTTAAAATGCATTAAACGTTGATTTATTGATAATCTATTGATTGTATTAATATTTTAACCTTTTTTCTTTGTTGTTGCTATATCTAGCTTATTGATTGTCATCGTCTTTGCTTTTGCTGGTTAAAATAAGCATACAATAAAAGAGATAAGAAAAACTGAAAATACTGAACAAGAAAAGCAGTTTAGGTTAAACATTGAATAATGCCAGAGTAATTTGACAATTTAACAAACACTTATTGAGTAACTGGTTGATAATATGGTTAGATAATGACGTTAATCATTGAATTTCATTGGTTAGTAAAGACAGTATAAAGATAAAGCTTATCAAATGTATGAACATGACTGGATTATTGGGTCTAATGGAAGCAGAGATTCGTCATAATTCAACCAGTTTTTGTTTTTCGGTAATTTTCTTCCTTTCCTTTTCTTATCCCATCCTCAAAAAAAGCTAAACATATTTTTTTGGGCAACACAATTGAAAATTTACATTGTTAACAGGGATCCTTCAGAAATTAATCATTAATGCATATTGTCTAATTGTTTGGTTCTAGAGGGTGTCTAAAACTGGTGAATTGGTGCAGAGAAGACTGGAAAGAGATAATAATGGTGACACTTGGTTGAATGTTGATGAAAATTAATACAATAGAAACGAAAAGAGAGAAAACCCGCAATTTGTTAATCACGTTATCATCAAGTGTCCATCATTATCAGTAAACATTAATCACACCATCTTCATTATAATCATGATTTGGGAGAGAGACAAAATGATAGATAAATCTAAAGGTATAATCATTGAAGGGTTGCACTTGATATTTGGATGAAAAATTAATTTTGAGAGAAGGTTTGTTTTGAATCAACTAATTAAACGGTAATAGATTCATGTTCAAATCTTAGGGTTGATCAGCTAAACCTCAAGTGGTGATTATTTTGAGCAAAAAAAATCTTAATCAGCAATCACAAATGTAAAAAAAATGCATTAAAAGATGACATTCTGATATTAATCTACAATAGATTTAGATGTAAATTGTCATTTAGTTCACTGTTAGAATTGATTCAAAGTTAATCCCCGAGACGAACAGCGGTTCAACAGCAACAAGTTAATCTTAACTGGCGTAAAGGCAAGAGCCATCAACATGAGGAACAAGGTAGAAAAAAACAGAACCACAAAAAAAACCAGTTGGAAAGATTATTATCAAGTGGTAATTACATGAGCAAACCCAAAAACACACATTTTGTGCGGTGAGCCTGAAAATGGTGACAATAATCACAAGAAAAAGATTTAACTGTAATAATAACTGTAACAGTACAAAAGGACAAAGCAATTGAGTTAAATTAAATGTTAGTAAGCCCCTGAAAAACACAGATTAATATTAATCAACTAGAAATTGAGCAAAAAACGAAGTAAAAACTCAACCAAGAAAACTGAATAAAACCGGTAAATTATGTAAAAAAAGGTAAACAGTAAACAAGGTTTAACTAATAAAAATATCAACAGATGTCGCGGAAAAAAATTAATCATGATCAAGAGAGAGATTTCAGAGTCTCTCTATCTTTCTCTCTCTCTGATTCATTCTTGTTCTTTCCAAATACACTTTCTGTCGAGGGAGCATTTTGTGTGAACACACTTGAATTCACCATGTTTTTTATTTTTATATTCGTAAACATTTAACCTGTTGATTGTTTTAAAGTTTTTTGTTAAATGTTAATTATTTAAATTAAAATTATAAATACATATAAATATGTATCAATATCAACCAATATGTTCAATAACATCAACAACAACCAAATTAATCGATTAAATATGGCTGAGTGCGCCCTTATTAAATCTTCACAGTGTTTCCAGGATAAAAATCGGATAAAAAAAGATTTAACCAAATTAACTAAAAACCTATTGCTGCTTGTTGGTACGTCCCACTTTTACCTCTTTTACCCTACCTACTTACAACCACCCTATCCTTTCCTCTGTCTATTTGGTTTATTTTCTTCCTCACCTTTTCTCTTTTAATCATTTTCTCTCTCTCTCTCTTTTTACTCTCTTTTCTTCTCTCTCTCTCTCTCACCTCTCTTTCTTTCTCTTTCTTTACACCATGTAACTCTCTCTGAACATCAGGCCTGGAACGTGTGGCTCAAGAACTTGTGGGTGGACGACGTTGGCGAAAGTTGACAGCTCCTTTCAACTCACTTGAACCCGATGAAGTCCAAGATTGGAGTCCATCTGAGATTTGTTATTTTTGCAATTCTGACAAACACGACTCTGTAAGTTTTTCCTTCCCATTCAATCCTAATTATCTCACTGTAACGTTAACTCAAACTGTGTGCTCCCTCACTTGCATCTCAATTTCCTCTTATTCTTATTCTTCTCCTTCTCCGTCTTCTTCTATTTAACCTTATTTTGAATTAAATTAACATCTTAAGTGATCACAGGCAAAGTCATACTCACTTCTCAAGTAAAAAAAAATATCTTCCAACGACTCATGTAACTAGCCTTAACAGTCAAACGTCACCAAATGTAATTGCATCACCTTGGTTATTTAGTTGGTGATTGGTAATACATTGGTGATATGTGTGTCTTTAGTTACTATGGTTTACAAAAACTTACCCCTAGTCTTTATCAGTGATAGAATCAACATATTGCTGTTTACTTTTAATTCAATCGGCTAATTTGAAATTCGAACGGTTAATTTTTTTTCGACTCAAATATTCACTTAATTTTCAATTGCTCAGATTCAAACTTTCACCCCATCAATCTTAATAATACTTAAAAGAGACAAACAGTTTTATCTTGATCATTTTAGGTTTTCTTTAAAAGTTGCTTTTAATGAAACAATTAGTCTATTAATATAACTTGTTCTCAATCTTCTTTTTTTCTTTGTATCATCATTATGATTTCTTGTTAATTGTTTGGGTAGATTAAACATAATCTGGTAAGGATAGGGATGAACCACTAGTAAAAATGGGATGTTAATGTTTTTTGCAAAAAATGAACATTATGGTGAAGAGAGAGAAAAGGGGGAAATGAAGATGAAAATCGTACGGTTTTTTATTGGTGGTAGTGATTTAAGGGCTTATGATCAACCACATGGTTAACTTTGGTAGTAAAGAATGGCTTTTGTTTTATTCAGTTACAAGTGTCTAAGTTAACATAATAATAACCATATTGAACAACTGTGAATTTATTTAGTCTTTTTGTCTGTGCAAGTCTAAATGTCACAATAAAGTAATACTAATCTTGAATTGGCATCACATATTTCAATTAATCGATTATCCTCTTTACTTGATTATATTACTTTTATTACATTTTTTTGTAGTTTTGTTTATCTATTTCCTTATAGTCTTCAACTTAATTGATCATCTTTAATTTAATTTATCACCTTTATTTTATCCTCAAGTTTGTCCTTTTTCTCGCCATTTTTAAAATCATTGATTTTCAATCTTATGCCTATTCATTGATATTCATTTACTCATTTGATCCGCTCAATTAATTTAATCTTTTTTCTCTGATTTGCTTTCCAATTTTTCATTGATTCCGTATAATTGAGCTCAATAAGATTAAATTGCAAAGTTGGAAAAAAATTAAGAAAGGTTGAAGATAGACTTGCTACTCTCACTTTTCACTATTTTTACCACCAAGACAATGGAAGATGAAGGTGGAGCTGTAATTAAATGATTCAATAGAAGTTGAAAATTATTCTAATTGATTGCCTACGATGGTCTGATTAATGTATTGAACTCAGGGATTATTTGGCCAATAATGAATACAAGTGTGAAAATTTGTAAGGTAAAATTGGAAGAATGAAAGGGAAAAAATGGTCGATTTAACGTGTTGAATGCATTATTAGATGAATTTGATTTGCAAGATTGTATGATACACACTAAATTAGATGTCACTGTGATTGGATAAAGTTAAATGAAAAAGAAGCCTTGGATGCTCGAATTGCAAAATGAGGAGTATCTTTGCCTCTTTCATCTCCCCTTCTCTTTCATTTCTTTCTCTCTTTTCTTCACATTTATCTGTTATTCATTCTGTCTGTTTTTTAACATGATGTTTATCCAATTTCTATCAAATCACAAGGTCTTGCCTCTTTCCACCACAAACTTTTCTTCTCTTTCGATGGCTGTGTCGCACTTTTATCATCTCAACCCTATGTGCCTCTTATATCGTTTTGATGAAACCCATTCTATTCATACAACTGTGCTTTTCTTGAGTATGATAGAGATCATATTCATTTTTATGTGTTTTTGTTAGATGGAGGGTTAAATGAAGTGGAGTTGGTGAAGTGGCTAAAAAGCTCAGTTAAGAATAAAAGAAAAATTTTGTCTGTACGAAAATAAAAAGCTACCCTAAACAAACTTACAAACAAAAAATCGTCAGTTACTAGGTTGATCGTGCCAGCGATAATTTAAATAAGTACATTATGGTTACATTTGGGTTAGTTAAGTGATCTGGAAACGACAAGTTTATTCTTTTCCTTTTTCCTTTTTTTCCTTTTTCATCTTTTTTCTCTTTCCTATTCAATGTGTTCCTTTTTCTTGTAACTTGTTGATTGATCTGATATCTCTTCTCGTTATAATTTGGATATTTATCAGGACTATCTGGTTGTCCTCCAACAGTCAACTCTTTGAGCTTTCTTTAGACACAAGATGGTAAAGTAATACAAGAATAATTAATTGCCTCATTTGTCTTTTTGCTGATTTGCCTCAAAAAATATATATTTATATATTTAATTTTCGTCATCTCTTTGCATATTAAAATGCCTTTCACTAATGATTTATAAGCTGTGTATAAAAAAACAATTTGTTTGCAGAATTATTTCCTTTAAACTTTATGCTTTTATCCCCAACGATATTTGTTTCAAAATTTTGTTGCCCAAATCATATTTTGCGAATTATCTGTTTAGGTTTTCTACCTTGAAAAATGCTTTTGGCAGTTTCATTTGCTTCCCCTGATTTGGTAATCATTTGTTGCTTGGTTCAAGAAAAACTTGATTCTTCATTAATTCCCAAATCTCTGATTTTCGAAGGCTTTGTTTTTTGTTGATTACTAATTTTTATTCATTTGATCATCGAGAGCAGTCACACATTCAAAAAAAGACGTAAACCCAAGTTAATGATAAACTTAAGTTGAAGGTGAGGGTGGTTAGCGCGACGATCATTAATTTTGGCTGAAAATTCTTATTCACCTTGATTACGGGAATCTTGATTTTGATAACGTTATTTTAATTGAGGGACAGCCATTTTAACATTTTGATGATTTGCTTCTCTTTCTTTATGCTCATATTTTATTGAAACACTTTAATTTATTCTTTCCTTAATTATTTATCTCTCTCTTCCTCTCTCTCTTAAATTATCACCATTCTCCCTGATTTTTGTGAATTTCCTTGATTTCTATTAGTTTTTTATGGTTTCCAACGCTTCCTCAAAAATCCGTATCAACCCTGAATTTTTCTTGTTCTTCTCGATTTTCTTATGCTTCCTGATTCTCCTAATTCGATTACTTTGATTGAAAACGAAATCGATAAACTCTTCCTCTTTCTCTCTTCTCTCCTACCATTGATTATTATTTATCTGCCTCGTTTTTTTATTGCCATTAATTAATTATTTTGTTTACGCTTCTTCTTTTGATTTCATTTTTATTCTCTTCAAATTGGTCATCTTTGTGCTTACTTGGAATTTACACGACTTGGACATATATCACCTAAATTGCCGTCATCAACATTACTGCCTTCACAAATCTAAATTCATGTTTGATGGTTCACTTTCAATCTCATTTTCATGTGTGTGTCCTCAACGGTTAAACTTTCAAACAATTTGGAAACCCATAATATGCTACTTGCTGATTTTATCGATGTTTTCCCATTGGATTGTGTATCTACTTTATCCAAACAGAATCATAACGAAATTCTTAAACATAACGACGATTGTCCACTTTCTTCAACGTCCAATGGAACCGAATCAAGTCAATTACAGTCATCAAATCAATCAATACAACCACCAACAAGCTGTTCATGTTTACCCTCTATTTCCAATGGAAATGATAGCAACATTCCCATAAATATTCCCATTAATATACCTGTTGTCCAGGCATCAGCCAACATTAAATCCGTTACTGCCACTAGTAATGTCACCTCAGAACAACCTTTGGACCTAAGTTTACATTCCCGCTCAGCGTTGATTCCAGAAGTTGACAAGTCAACGAATCATGTCAGTGATACCTCTTCATCTTCATCACTTTTACGCATTCCTCAACCAGTTCAGACCAATACCAAACAAGGGTTCGTATGTTTAACAATAATGTTCCCTCATCATTCCTAAATAACATCCGCAAAAATTGATCAAGGATCATAAGAATTTAGATAAAGAGCGAAAGAGCGAAAGAGAGAGAAACAGAGTAAGAGAGGAAAAGAGAGGAAAATTTTGATTAACCCATGCAATTGTTTTCGTTACTCCTACCCTATTATCTTCTCTTTCTTCGCCTTCCCCTTTTTTACTTCTCTCGTTTCCCTCATTTCCTTCTATGCTTTTTTTGTGAAACCGTTTTACTTTCTCTCTAAATTGATTAGTTTGGTTTCATTTTTCAACAGAAAGAAAAATCGTCTGGAAACAACAGCAACCACATCATCATCATCAACAAGTAGCAACTGGAAGAGAGCATACACTGAAGAAGAATTACAACAAGCCTTGAATGATATTCAGAGTGGTAAATTAGGAACACGTCGAGCTGCGGTTATTTATGGTATACCTCGTTCAACCTTGCGAAATAAAGTTTACAAATTATCCTCTGATCGGATAAATGTTAAACGAGGTCAAGGTTCGACAGCAAACAATTCAACAGTCCAATCAACAGCAGCTTCCTCCACTGGTTCAACTGGACCAGCTTTCTCCACAGTCAAAATACCCTCTAACCTACCTGCTTGCGCTGCTGTAGCTGCGGCTGCAGCGGCTGCAGCAGTAGCAGCAGCTAATACAACAATTGATTCAGCATCTCCTTCCCCATCAACCACCACCTCTGGCACTGCCAACCTGTTGCACAGAAAGTCTATTTTACCTGTGCGTACTGGCAAAGAGAGTGTCTCTCGTAATAAAACTGTCTTAGCTTTGAGAAGATCGATGAAAAAGACTGTTAATGATGAGGAGGAAACTTTGGAATCGCGCTTATCTTCACCAATTGTTCCTAAAATTACTGATAGTCATTTAAATGATGTTAAAAATGAAGAAGACGACGACGATGATAAAAATAACGATAGTAACTTAATTCAGAACGATTTGAAGCAATTTCTTAAGCGAACTATCACTCAAAGGGCAGCTAATGCAAAACCACTTGTTTCATCTGGAGTTGATTCATTTTCATCATCACTCGACCTTAATAACCCTAAAACTGGCACTGATGCTATCAATATGGGACCAACAATGCCAAATATTTTCACCGATCCTTTAACAACTTTGCAGCTGTTATCGTCAATGGACTGCGGTAATGCCATAGGTCCATTGATTTCCCAAATACTTTTGAATGTCCATGCCTTTCCTCTTGCCAACAGTGTCAGTAACCTCATAAATAATAACTTTAACTATAATAACAAGCCCACCGAAAACATGGACCTAAATAATAGTTTATCTGGAACATTGCCTTTATTGCCAGAATTAATTCGTAAATTAGCTCAAGAACGTTTGGAGGCGGAAAGATTATCCGGATCAAATGAAACCCAAGAAAGGTCAATGGATGGAAATTGTGATAGTAATGTGATATTAAAGGTTCCGTCCTACCAGCCTAAATTGAACCTTGATGCCGTAAACAAAAAAGAAGATATAAATAATAATAATATTAAACAAGAAGGATCCATCTCCAATCATTCCAATATTGGAGGAATAAATACTAGCTCTAGTAGTGGTGTTAGTAACCTTTCTAGTCATAGTCTGGGTGATTTAAATGTTAACATGGTCAAAGATGAAAACAATAATGGGATTGATGAGAAACGTTTTAAATTATTTCCTGTTAATTCAGACGAATCAAGTTCAGATGCCTTAATTAATGAAAATGCCAAGAATTACAACTTTAACCGACGAAAAGTTGAAAAACGTAACCCAACTGATTTAAAAAGCAGTGATCAAAGTGCCCCATCAAACCCTGATCTTAAAAGAAATCGTCCGAAACGTGGACGTTATCGCAACTATAAACGAGATGACCTGGCTAGAGCAGTTAGAGCGGTGCAAATGGGAGAGATGAGTGTTCATCGAGCAGGAACTCATTTTGGTGTTCCTCATTCGACTCTGGAATATAAAGTTAAAGAGAGGCATTTATTGAGGCCCAAAAAGAGGCAAACTACTTCAACCTCAGGAGCAGCATCGTTAATTAAGAAAGAAGATGGACATAGTTTAATAATACCCAAAACTAATTTACCCGATCCTTTAGTTTTGGCTCCTGGTACTGGACCTTTAAATCCTAAGCCAGCTGGTCTGGTAACCCAATCACAACTACAACCTCAACCTCAACAGCAGCAGCAGCAACAACAACAGCAATCACCAATGGAAGGATTATCTTTGGTTAATCAAGTTAATCACGCTTCTCTCTGGCAGTCTGCTCTACCTTTGTTTCCATTAGACTTCGGGTCATCACAAAATAGCACCAATTTTTTCGCTTCCAATATAATGAGGAAATTGAAAGAGAATGCACAGTTACAAGAAGAAGCTTTCAACAACAATTCCAATGGCAGTAATAATGCCAATAATGTTTCCGGTTTTAGTGATTCCAATTCAATGGGACCAACTAGTTTAAAAGATAGAGAATTTAGCAGTTTATTGATGGAAACATTGATTAAATCATCCTTGGAAAGGAAAACGTTAAATTCTATGTCTTCAGCTAACAGTGACAGTGATAGTCGATTGAACCGAAACACATCATCATCAGTTCCTTATCGTTATCATAATGAAGATTAGTTTGGATATTAAATTGTCTTGCCTTTTGTTTTTTTTTGTTTTTGTTTTTTACCTCTGTAGCATTGTTTTGACAACCATATTAATTGTTAAACTTTGTTAAAAAAATTGATAGGGCCCTTTATTAACCTTTCAAATTTGATTAATCAACAAACTTGTTAATGACGGTAAATTGTCCATGAAATTAAGTTATTTAATGACAATTTAAAATATTGAATAAAGAATTACTATTTTGGAACCATTTTAAGTACAACAAAAGAAACAAAAGGTGTTATAAAGTTACCTAAATGCAATCATATCTTATTTTTGTCTATTTATTTCCATTATGCACTTTTATCTTAAATTATCAACCAAAAAGTCAACCAATCTAAATTATTATTTTCATGTCAAGTTTTGCTCTATCAATACATAATAGTAAATTGTTACATTTGACTTTGAATCGATGAAAATTTCTCAGAGTTTACATTAATGAATCCAATGAAAACAAGTGAAAATGTTCATTGAAAATCAATAAATCACTATTGCAGGAAAAGGCCAACCATGATATTAACTAACCTTTAGTCAGTCATTATTGTTACCCAAGTTGAATCAAGTGAATATCAATAATGAAACCAAAAAATGTAATTGTTTTTAAAGTGACAAATTTTTTCTCTACCTTAACAGATAAGCAAGTAATTTTGATTGTTTGTTTCATTGGAGCCTCAATTCAAACAATTTACATATTGAACCGTTTCCTGGAATACGATACTCTAATCCAAGCCCATGTTGGTGTACCCGATGCCACAACCATACCCGATTTCAACCTATGTTTTGACTTGCTTGATGTCCTCAACTTTACCAGTTTATCAACCAGTTATCCCTTTATAGTCCAGGAATTGGGTTATAAACCAGGAACTCCAATCACAAATGGATTAATCCGATCACTCAGAAGGGAAAAGGGCAACGATTTCATCTTTTTTTCCATCGGACAATTCAAAATCAATCAACTCTGGCAACATGTTGTATCACCATCGAGTGTTTATACCAAAGCTTTTGCACAAAAAGTTTCAAGTGATGGTGTTATTGAAGAACCATGTTCATCGACTAGATTTTTCATTGAACAAGCTCTTTGCTACTCGTTTAGCTGCTCTGATGGGTCAAACTCTTCAATTGTTACTGGACTCAATGATTTGTACAAGAAGCTCAACAAACAAGAAATTTTCACAATATTAATCGATCAATCCTTTTTCAGTTCGATTGGTTACTATTGGGTTGCATTGACCAGTCGAGGTAAATTACCTTTTGGCACCAACCTTAAATGGGAATCACAGCAAGGCTTCAATGTTACAAGGAAACACACATTTTTCTTTTACACCGTGGAAATTCATCGGTTACCTTTGCCTTACAACTCGAAATGTTTCGATTACAGTGTAAAAGGTTTCAGTTCTAGGGAAGAGATGAATGATCAGTGTAAAATTAATTTGAGTTTACAATATTTTGGTGGCCCTTTGCCACTAAATATCATTGAAAGTCCGATAGATGCTCCTTTGGGTTACATTATGTTTGAAAAAAATAGGGAAAATGCTTCATTCCTTGCAATTGTTTCTGATATTGTTGACCATTGTGATCATCTAACTGCACAATTGGATTGTTTTGAAATCATTTATTCACCATCGAGTCGGACTCCTCTTCCCATTTGGAGTGAACACACTGAAATAACGATTGAACAAATTTCTGATCCAGTTTACATCATCAGAGTAGAGCCTAAATTAACTGTTCTTGATGTTGTCATTTCCATTGGAAGTATTCTTGGTTCTTGGCTTGGTTTCTCGATTGCAGACTCAATTCCTCAGGTAACCAGTTTCATGGGAACGCATGTTTTTAAATTTACCAACAAAAAGAAAGGAAGAGATTTCCAAATTCAATCACATTCAAATGATGATTCCCACATTTTCATGTTACCATCTTCAGAATCAATCAAATACCAAAATTACCGAGCATATTTACAGCGTTATTATTTTCATCGCTATCCTTTCAATTACCATCAACAAGGTTGGCCATTCACAAAGGTTAAAGCTCGCCTTTATTAGTTCAAATAAGTGTAACTATGAGCTATTCTGGTCACAACACATTTCAACGTAATTTTGTTAAAAAATGAAAGTTGAAATGATTAACTCAATTTTGCTGAAAGATTCGATCATTAATCTTTACAGCTTTCAAAGATTGTCAAAATTTCCAATGAACTTTTATCAGGTTAGCCAGATGAAGCACAACTTTAATTGATCATTAGGCACATGGAAAATTTGTATTGGCGCTCAGAAGAAGAGACAAGTTCTTGTCGAGACATTGTACATGTAAAGTGATCTCTATTACAATTAAATTGAATTTTTAATGATTTGACTGCAACTGTATCTTATTTTTCAACTTTGAAAGTCGCAAAATATAATAGTATTAATACATTCAGTTATCTCAGTGACTACGTTAACTAGACGTACGTATTACTGGATAATTAAACTTAGCATGGCCCAAACGAAATATTGAAGACGAAAATAATTAGCATAAATAAATATTTTTTATTTATATTGATCAATCTATTAATTACATATAATTACATACTCAATACAATTAAATGTAATATATTACATACTGAATATATTAAATGTTTTTTTATTGATTTGATTTTACTTGTAGTCGTCGTTGATTGTATTGTAATAAAAGGGAAAATAGTTTAAAATTTTTACTAGCTTTACAAAACCGAAATCAATCAGTTTTCTCGTAATTTTCGAGATAATTTTCTTTATGAAGATTCTCTTCATGGTTCTCATCATGACGTATCTCTTCGTAATGTTCACTGAATATATTTCCAGAGTAAGCCTCGACTGCCATTTTATGCAGTCTTTTGCTCATAGTTTTACCAGTTTGAGCTACAAGTTTAGAGAAAAGAGATGATTTTCTTTGGAGTAGATTATATGGAACATCAAATTCTTCGACTTTACCAGCATCAAGAACCTGTAAATATAAATAAATTCAATTAAAATTAATGAACCAGTTATGAGTAAAGATAACTTACAAGAACACGACTAGAGTCGATAATTGTGTTCAGTCGATGAGCAATCGTCAACACAGTACAATGAGAAAATTTAGTTCGAATTGTATTCTGAATAAGTGAATCTGTTTTATGGTCTACATTTGCTGTTGCTTCATCAATAACTAAAACCTTATTATTACGAAGTAAAGCTCGTGCCAGACAAATCAGTTGTCTCTGTCCAACAGAAAAGTTTGATCCACCTTCCAGAATCTCATGATCAAGATGATCATGTAACTCCAAAACAGTTTCCTTTAGTTGAACATCATCAAGAGCTTCCCATAATTCAGCATCTTTATGTTCAGTAAATGGATCTAAGTTGGTTCGAACAGTTCCAGCAAATAAAATTGGTTCTTGAGGAATGATCGATACTTTTCTCCTTAAATCATGAAGACCAATCTCTTGAATATTGATTCCATCAATTTCAAGGGAACCATCAAATTCAACAATTCGGAATAAACATGATAAAAGTGAACTTTTTCCAGCTCCAGTTCTTCCAACAACACCAATTTTCTCACCAGATTGAATGGTTATTGTTATATTTTTAAGCGTCGGTTTAGGTGCTGTTGGATATTGAAGAGTTAAATGGTCAAATTTGATTAATCCCTTAGTTGGCCATTCTGGTGGTGGCTTCTTTTCACCTTCTAATTCAGCTTCCAAAGGTAAAGTTGTGTATTCAACAATACGTTCAACTGAAGTCATTTGACTTTCAAACTCAGTTGACTGTCGGATGAAGTATGGCATGAAGCCAATCAATTCAAAAGCATTAGATAAAGCCATTCCAGCATCACCAGCAGGAATCACTGTTTAAATATAAAAAAGACAATTGTTTCAGTTTCAGTTTCACGTTCAGGCAACTGTGAATAGAGCAGAAATATTCTAATAAATGTCCCAATGTCTCATGGTCTCATATCAATTTCGGAATACCAAAAATAAGGTATAACTTTATCTCCGATGCTGATATGGTAAAGTAACACAGTTAGGTGGAATTGGAATTTTAGCGCAAAAATACATGACTCGCTTTTTTATCAGTAATTGCGTCAAATTGAGATTTTTATATCATATTCAGATTCAGATCATATGCAACATCATATAATTTGGTTATATAATGTCTACTACATCTATCCCTAAATTAAACTTACAACCTTCACAACTTTATTAATATGTTTACGATGTAATCGACTCTAGATATACAAAAAAAATCCCATTTTTTCTAAAGGTTGCAACAAGAAGGACTTTTCTAGGACGTATTTTTGTTCAAAAAGAAACAGTAAAAAGAAGCAATTATTTCACTTTAATGTATTCAGAAAAAAAACTCACTGTTCGCTGTAGCAATAAGAGCAAAGGTTGTTATCGTGCAATAAGAAACACATGTCCAATCAACTAAAATGCCAAGAGTTCGAGAGGCACAAAGAAAAAGGAACCAAGTTGCTGAATGATTGTTCAAGATTACTCGAAATTGATCAGTGAACATTCCTTCCGTGCCAAAAGCTCGTATTGTTGGTAAACCATCAATTATGGTTGAGATGTGAGAATAAACTGGACTACGAGCTGTAAAAATTTAAAGTAAGACAAATTGTTATTGAAAATAAAATATATCAATATTGCAGGAAATTTAGATCACATTGGAAAAGTCTAATCAATTCATCACACAATTCATCAAATTGTATTATTTATTAATTTTGGTCAATTTGAAGAGAAAATCTTGTCGGAATGAAGAAAGCCCGTTACAAAAATTAGCAACCAGAATAGAAACAAAATAAACATGAACGGATACTCACTGATTCCCTCAATTCGTTTGATTGCTTGTCCAGTAGGAATGTAAATGGCTCGCCATACCAACACAATTATTATAAGTACGATTCCAGGGAAGATAAGGTACCATGAAACATAACCAACAATTATTAAACTTCCTGCTACTTGGTAAGCAATCTACAGAAAAAATCTTATAATTGATTGACTTACAACGATATTAGATGCGATTTAACTCAGAAATGTTATCTCGCTCTACGGAATTCAACGAACAATTATCTTACCAATATTAAAGTATAAGCATTGAGAGGAAGAAGCTCGTCAATGATTCCCAGATCTCGAGAAAAACGATTCAATATTCGACCTAAACATGACACAAGAATATTAAGATTATTCGATGCTTTCAACAATTCCAAAAGACTTACCTATCGGTTGACTTTCGAATAAAGCCATTGGTGATCTTAAAACTCTAAAGAAGATTG